TTGTATATTGTTTAATTTAATTACATTTAGGCCATTTTACCCAAATGGTATGGAAAAACTCGAAGCAATTCGGGATCGGTAAAGCAATCACAAAGGACAAGCGAGTGGTGGTGGTTGCCTCATATGAGCCACCCGGCAACTATATCGGTCAGTTTCCCGACAACGTGTTTAACAGAACTGATGGATATCTACCACCAAAGCCGGACGGAGCACATAAAGTCAAGATTGTCAAAGCGGCAGATGATAAGAAGGTAAAATCTCATTGCAAAACATTGAATGTGGGATGTTCGCCAAGAAAAAGTAATAATAATGAGACCATCCATCTAGGCCTAACTTATTCTGACGAGGCTCGAAAAGTGTTAGGCCTCGGTATCTTTAATTAGAAAGAAAATATACATGTTTGCACGACTTTCTGCTCAAAACCATTAAACCATCCATTGGAAGCCTTTTAAACTACCAAGCTACAACATCTACTTTTGGTAGTGGTTGTCGCCGTGGTTGTGTTTCGGGAACCAGACTGAGGTTAGGGTTCGAATCGTTGCTGTGTACTTCGCTTATGTCTTTGTGTCCTTCTCTGCACCCGGAGTATATAAAGAATGCCTGGTAGGATGTTTTGATATTGAATGCATTGGTCTGTGTTGCCTTAACACGATTAAAAATTCTACCCAGGAAGTGGAGGAGAGAGATTGCACAATGTGCCGGTTTGGCAATTATCTATGTGCCGTTACTGTTTCTTGAATTAAGTAATTGATTTATTAATCACTTGTCCTATTTAAAATAGCAGATTGATGGTTAATATATTCACGTAAATGCTATTGATTTTTAAAAAAATGTAGACTAATACAATTTCTCCAAGACACATCGTTACCCTAAGCGATGATCAAAGGTCACGAACGCTTAGAAGAAATACTTGACAAAATAATGATTCAAAAAGGTCTGAAGAATGAACGCATCCAAAAATCAATAACGAGAGACCTTCTAATCTAATCAATTAACTGCCCGTATACGCGCATGCGCAAATATATAAACACGAATTACTTTAAGAATAAGAACGGTTACTACCATGTAAACCTGTTTGTTTGCAAGACTAACTGTAAGTACCGGTATTTATTTTACTAGTTTTAATCTAATGTTGATTTTAGCTTAAATTGGAATTCATTCTCCATTATGAAGTAGGCCTAGGCCCTATTTTGCTTATTTCACATACGTCGGCTGAACGGGATTTTGATTGAAATTGCCTGATAATAATAAATCGAAATCCTTTAAGATGTCGGCTATGGCAATATTATAACACATAACACTGCGAATATTAAATAAAAAACATGTAAAATCATAATTCAACCATTGATTTAATTTTATTCAACATAGGCAAATTACAACAAAGACCACAGACCTATAATGCATGTTTACTCAATCGTGCTATTCCAGCCATATTGAATGTCTCCCGGACACTGTTAATGATATTACAGCGTTCTTTTAGCTTCATACTTTAAAATGCATAATAGAGTATAGGCCTAGTTCATTAACGTTTTCTCACGATACAATGAATATGTTATTGCGATGCATACTAGCTGTCTATCAGTATACTTGACCATTTTTTAAAATAAAACATAAAGATGCTGCGCGGTGGGTTAAGTGGTTTCCTGATTACGTATGTTGATTTATGTCCCTTACTGATGTATCAGTCGTTTATAAGAACAACTCATATTCAAAGGCAATATAATAAATGCTATATTAGGCCTAATAGACAGGCAAACTATACACGATAAATTACATAATTTTCTCATTTCCCCCAAATGCTAAGATAACATTTAGTGTGTAATCGTTTGAGTATTTGGCATCGATATGTATTGTTTAGTTTATAGTTACATACAGAGTTACAAATACAATGAAACATTTTAGTGCTAAAATTGCTATCTGGGAAGGTCAGCACACAATTGTTTCTGTGAAGTGATGACATTTTATAGATGTGAATAGTGGCTTAAACAATTTTGGTCCCGTGGTGCCCCTTTAATAGGGATTCCACTTTGTATATAAATACAATGTTTAAAAGAGCTATGCTAGGCCAAATTGTGGGATACCTCTGAGATCCATAATTTGGTCACGGTACTGTATTGATTCTAAGCAGAAGGAACACTAAGCACAGGATAATTTTATGTTGAAGATTTGGTTCGAACATGGTAAGAGATGATATTTTCTTAGACCGGTTCCAGTACAACAAAATGCACCGTAATTAAACTGCATAGATTGTCACCTGGTTAGGGAAGATTCAGTCCGAAACTTAAACATGAAAAAGCTAGAGCAAAATAAAGCATTATGATTTAACGCATAAATAAGCAGTACAAAACCCTACATCAAAACTTTCCATCAAAATACCAACGATCAGTCTTTTAATATGCATGAGTAAGTATAGAAAGGTTCTGAAAATAATAAATAAAAAGTAAGATGATCAGATTTTTGCAAAGATTTTGAAAGGAGATGAGAATGACATTTTTCAATGGAATGTTAGACAGATTTTGATGATCACCTTTAAAATAGGCAGGTACCTGGCTACCAAACTAGGAGTAGGCCTATAAACATTAATCTTTATCCTGGTAAATTGTACGATGTAAAGCGCACTGCAATGGATAATTTTACATATTTTTGTTTAATCTTGTTTCTGTGTAAAAGAAGGCTGGCAACCAGCCCTCATTTCATTCTGTGTTATCAAAATATGAGTTGGAGTTCTTTATTTTGTACAAAAGGAAAATACAGTAGGTGCAAAATTCATCGCAGAATAAATTTTAAAAAAACATTCAAACACATAAATGAAGCGGTATACTAATATTTTTTTGTATGCACATTAAGCATATTCAACAAGTTTAATGGCTGCTATTAAACTTTTTATGGGGTTGGTACAAGGGATTATGATAACGCTATAGCCTCCATGAACTACGTGATTCACCTGATGAAACTAGCTCAAGCTAGCGAATTTTCAATAAATTCTGTTAGATGATGCTACTGTACCGATTTATTTTTTTATACGCTACCTGGGTCATCATTTATTTTAAGTCTACTTTTGGTTACTCCTTATTAGTGATGTGGACTATAAGCATGGTGAAATTTCCTGTACATAAATGTTACAAACGAGGTTCCATAACCGATGTGTTTTTTTCGACGATATGCTGGTTTGGGGTTCAACTCAAATCAAGTTCAGTACAATGGACGATGTATTTTTATACAGTTTTTTTCAAATGCAAATAATAATATATATAATTTGACTGTTTTAACTGTTAATCTTCGCAGGTGCAAGCCAAAAACTTCAAAATGGTACCAGACGATTTGAAATCCTTCCAAAAAGATGCATTGGAAGCCCATAATAAGTACCGATCAAAACACAAGGCACCAGCTCTGAAAGAATCAAAGGAACTTACAAAAATGGCTCAAGAGTGGGCGGAACATCTGGTCAAAAATGAACTATTTGAGCATCGTGAATCCCGTGACACTGGAGAAAACATCGCCATGCATTATTCATCCGCCAGTACTAACTTTACAGGTATGTGTCATTAGAATTCTGAAAAACATAACCACACCCTTCTCTCATAACCTTGATAGTGAGGCATACGTGTGTGCCGGTGCTTCCACACTCAAGGACAAAAAGTAAGCATAAAACGTATTTAATCAATGTCACAATTATATAATGTATATATGTAGGCCTATATATACATGCATTTTATACCCACGTCACTTATATAGTTACCGCACCTGATTGTAGAATATTTAAAGCGTTTTTCTTTCATTTAATAATTGCAGGTAAAGAAGCTACCGACATGTGGTATAGTGAAATCAGTAAACATGACTTCAGTAGCCATGAATTCCAGCCCGGTTCAGGTAAATCATTGAAAATTCTTCTGCTGCCAACAACTGGCAACATACATCGGGGCTAGGTCAGAGGCATCTTTTGTCATTCTCTTTATAGTTTGATGATATTTACTAAAAAGAAAAAAACACACATTTTTATAGAGGCGCAACAGCTAAAAAAAACCATTCACTTTCAAAATGATATTCCAACAATTTATAATATCAATGGAAAGTCGATAAAAAAAAACTGTTTCGCAAACTCAACATATGGTTGTGAAAACTAAAGTTTTAAAAACAGATGATAACTACAGGAACACTGTTTTTCAAAAACCTTCAGTGCTATTTATTAATAGATATCTAATACAATAACTAAGATATTACTTATAAGACACACTTAAATTTTAAATCGACAAGCCATTGTGCTTTGATTTCATAATTTCTAATACTGTCAAGCCAATTTCGTGGTAGTCTGAAACGTCATGTATTAACGATAGTAATAATGGCGCCCTCTGTGTTTTTAAAAGTTCAAAGCCGCACAACTTTTGTAAAGACACTCCTTGCAAATATGGAAAGAAAAATAATGCAAAACAATACAGATTGTTTTTGGGTGATACTCTATCCGACAAAGTTTATTCTTATTTTATTATTTGATTTTGTATTAATTAGAAAATGTAATATGTTACTGTGATCTAACTAATCACATAACCCTGCTTTCCACAGGTCATTTTACACAGGTTGTATGGAAGGGTTCAAAGGATTTTGGTATTGGCAAAGCAATCACCAAGGAAGGAAAAGTTATTGTTGTTGGTAATTACAGGCCCCCAGGAAACATTATGCAGAGGTTCGCAGAAAACGTGTCTTCGGGCAATTAAACAACCTGATGTAAGGTACCCTGGTTTAATTCATGCGTATTAGTACCAAGCCCAAGAGAGTATTAACGTCGCGTGTATTGTATTTTCGAGAGTTTTATGCACCTGTAAATAGATAGTGCTTTTAAAGACATATATGATAAACAGAAGGTCAAAATGAGGGATACAGAATGATATAAAATCAAACAAGCAATAATTATACTCCAATACTGTACTATTGATCATTCCTATGTACTCCTAACAATCGTAATTCAGGTAATACATTAGTACTGCTTCACAAATCTAGTCTTCCAAAACACATTTTTAAATATATTGATATTAATTCTCATTAATTTAGTCAAATATGCGAACCTGAAAATACATTGAAATGTATTACAGTATTGTATACAATAACATCATAATATAGAAAAGAGTAACCTTATGTATTACACCTATTGTTACATTTCCAGTTTTAAAAAAATACACTGATAAAAATAATACCTTTCCAATTGTAAGACGTCACAATTATATCGATATCTTGTGATGCCTTATAGGCAGTCAAAGAAATTGACACGTCAGTGCACCAGATTAAATACTACTACTAATAAAAATAAGGCAGTGTCTATAATAATGTTTACCAGTTTCAATCGAATCCCTAATTCCGATTAGATGTTATTGAGCAGACTTAATCCAATCCATACCCAATCAGAATTGGGAAAAATGAGTATTCGAAAGTCATTGACTAGATACATAGTTAATGTTTGTATCTTCGAATTACGTACCTAATAAGTAAAGAATACATAATTTTATAAAACAAACAGATACTATATAATTAGTACAAATTAGTATAAATAGATGGTGAATGATGAGGATATGTCTTTAATATATAAGCTCTCAAAAAAGCGGCTGTGAAAGATAAATAACTAGTTAAAATTATATTGGTGATTAGTAATGATTAATTATCCTAGTGATATCTATTAAGCCTAATATTTATTCATATCATTATGTTCTTTAATATAAGTTATTAAAGATAATACGAACAATTAATTACAACGATATTTTACGTTCGGTTCTTAATTAATAAGTATTAACATTTACCGGTACTGTTTTATATTCCATGATAATTTATAATGATAAATTATACTTGTAAAGTGACACTAATACTAAATTATTCATTTTAGAAAAAAATGAAATAATGTATATATATTTAAATACTAATATTAACGTCTCAAATTTTCTGTCATGATTTTAGTTTTAATTTACAAGACAAGAGTATAATACTACTGAATATAATATATTGCAATAATAATATTATCATAATATTATTATGATAAGGACTAGCAAGAATATAAGTACAAAATTTAAACACTGTTCGTTAAAGTATCATTATTATGATTATTATTATTATTATTGTATAAATGGTAAAAATGTTATTTAAAATCGTGTATGTGTCACTGATAATCGAGTGCGTATTACATCAGCATTATCTGAACAATACCTCCGCAATACTGAATGTAAAGAAGATAGGTTAATATAAATTAAAAGTAAACATAATTACACATACTGTAAAGTTTCAATTGATTATTTCTTACTCAGAACCTTTTTCAAAGCATTACATTTTGTTTTTGCTGATTTGCATATAATGACGCAATGTTCAAGTTTAATTTCCATTAGTTACATTCCAATTTAGATAATGTTTTTGTTATTGTTTACTGAAAGTGCAGTATCTATAAATTAGTGTAGGTCTATAATTTATTGTATATTATGGTGTGACATACGGTAACTACATTTCACTTAAATTATCCTACTTCCTTTTGTGCAATGGTCCGATATCGATTCTAAGAAATGTTGATTATAAAAATTGATTGATTTTGAAAAAATAAAATGAGTAAAAAAGTACTAGATTGACTTATGTTTGTGTGTGTGTATTCTTTGGCTTATTTTGCCAATCAAACTATTGTACGTGGAAGGATCGGTGTTACATGACAACGGAAAAATGTTCTAACACCGTTTGAAGATTTACCCTCCATCTAAAATGGTTTAACCCCACCATTAGTCATCGCTACCACAGGCTCGGATCTGTCAAATTAGTGACCGACGCAACCGAAGCAGAGGAGGCCCTTCCGACACCTGTTTCCCGGATCATAAGCAGTTCGTCTTCTGTGAATTAAACCTAATTGAACAACAAAACTCGACAAATTACCAAGAATTCATCCAATTGCTGAATAACAACATCCTAGTTCAACACGCTTACCTTTCCAATTTGCATTAAGGAGAAGAAATAGGCCTAGTATTTTCATTCGAACTTTTGGCGTTTATCGATATTGCAGATTGGGTAGGCTACTTTAGATCTACTAAGACCTAGTAATGTTCATCGGAACCACATCCTGTTAGTTTTGCTGTTTATCAATTGCATGGGACACACTATACGGATTATTATGCTTCCTTGGTCTCTGGGATCGTCATTATACACATTAGTCAGTGCTAATATCAGGTACAGATCTCCTTGATAGTTTTGTTGAATCTTATAGAGTACAGATAGATTTTTTTTCAGTTTCTATAAATACATCTACTCCCGAGAACAACACGCGTATGACGGCGACGTCTTTGTTCGTTTTGTGTAAGCACTCCTGATGATGTCTTTCTTAAACTTCGTGATTGCAGTTGTGATTTGTATCATCTTCCCGTCTTATAAAGTTGATACGGTCCCTATTGAAGGCGGTAAGTGTCATTTCGCATTTAATTAGTTTATGGGTATAGCCCTTTAAAATACGACTATGGCGCCACACCTGCGTAACGACATATGTTACTTAACTCAGTGAGTTGTTATTGCCCTGCTTAACTTAACATTCAAAAGGAATTTTACAATGTACTTACAGTACTGCACTGGACGTCATTCAAATGTACCGATAGTGTAAGTATAGTATGGATAATTAGGCCTTATTATGTTTATTGCCCTAGTAGTGAATTGATTACCTTTTGATTGAATTTTAATATCATATAGTAACGTCAATAACGGTTAATTTATGTTGTCTGGCAATATATGTACATCATCATGATTTGCGACTACGATTACTATAATTATGCCTTTAATTACCCTCATCCAACAATTATGATGATGTTGAAGATGATGACGTTGAAGATGATGATGATAACGATGACGATGATAATGACGGTGATGACGATGATGATTACGACAATTATGATGAAGGATATCGATCGACGAAAGTGGTAATAATAAATAGCAATGATGTCAGACATGGTTTATTAAAGAGACAACCAATTTTGGTAACCGTTATTATTCCTATAGGGTATATAAAAAAGTTGAAATGTGAGAATAGCCATAGTATATGAAGAATTTCGTCTAGCCTAGAACTATATGGTGTTGAACATAAAACCAAACAAACGGATTAACAATTATAATCATAGCCTCGTGTATTGAATCCGAACATGATTTTCGTTTTGTTGGATACCTACCTAATCCATGCTTGGAGGAATTAGTTTCTACATGCTTTATGTAACCACAAACTGAAACTACTTCATGTAAAGCCTGTGGTGTGGACTTTCTTGGCCTTGAACTAAGCTACATTTTACACGATTATCCCGTTCACTCATGTTTTTATCACCGCAAAGTGTAAAGGTGGAGGTCATGCGTCAATACAAGGTCCGTGGTTTATATATTTATATATTTCTCAGTAGGCCCAGCCTAGCCAGTCACTCGTGAAGCGCGTAAAGCAGAAATACTTTCGAGAACACATCAATGTGGGATGGCCTGGGTTTACGTACCATGTAACAAATGCACATCACTGAACAAGAGAGTGATTTATGTTCACATGTAATTCTGCTTAAACTTAATTGCAAATACACACTATAAAAATACAAGGTTCAGATTACATAAAAGTTACATGGTATTATAGAATTGTTAATAAAAGAATTTCTTGATCTACACTTTTTTTTTTATAAGAACACATTTTATGAACACTGAGGCTGAAATTGCTTAAAAATTAAGAACAAGATAAGAACATATTGAGGCTGAGGTAAAATTTCAAATAAGGATTATATAATTTAAAAACCAAAATATTATATCTGTACATTATGTGCAGTAGCTGTGACTGTAATACCCTCTATAATACCGTACAGTAGGTGTACCTATCTGACATTTGGGGGCCATTTTTTGTGGGGTCACTTTCGCATACATTGTAGTACAGTGCATACTGCCGTACAATTAAATATTTTTTTGTTTAAAAGGTGTGTAAACTAAGAACAAAATAAGAACATTTTGAGCATGAAATCGGCCAAAAAATAAGAACACTGAGCCTGGGCAAAATTTTACTGGTTCTTATAAATAAAAAGTGTATTAGAATTGTACTAATATAATATTAGTAATATACGAAGCCTGTCTGATTTTTGTGAGTTCTTCATTTGTTGTGTACCGGTAATTCATTTAAGTTACAGGGATCTTTCTTAATAATTTTAGCAGCAAGTTTCATGATTTTTAGGGAGTTTCTGCACATACCATTCCGTACTAATTGGGTAAAACGTAATTATCATGTCTTAGGCGCGGTGAAATTCCACAATTCATCAAGTCACATACTTAAAGAACAATTGCTGTGTTGTTAGCCTCTTATACCAAGGAACGAATGGATAATGTATACAATGAAGAATAATCATTTCAATTAGTACCCTATTCATCACGTTTCTTGGAAAATCCAACAAATGTGTGCTCACTTTCTGGTACCCTACTCTTATTATTTTTGTCGTTGAGTAGACTTTGTTCTATATTGGAGGGCTAACTCGACAACAAATAAGACGAAATTGTAAAAGCACTCTCTGATCGGAGAATACCTTAAACATTCAGTTATAATTTTGAATAGGCCTAGTTCATTTAAATAATTTACTAACTTTCAACCAGAAAAAAATCGAAAAAAATAGTTTTCGCTAATTTACAAACGTTTTTCTACCAAAAAAATCTTTAGATTGGTTATGAAACAATTTAATAGACTATACAAAAGAATACAGTAAATGAATTTAACTGTATACGGGCCTACTCGAATGCTATGGTGAACACGTTAACCCACACCTACAAACTACAGCTGTTATTCTCATGACCATGAAATGTTACAGAAAAATCTTCTCTGCTAAAAACGAGTATACCACATAAAACTGCCCTTATGCATTGGCAATTCAATTTCATTCGATGGGGTACAGGCACTTCGTAGCCAAGACTTTCGTAACCCAGACGTTTCGTAACCATGTCGCAGACTTTTCGTAACCAAGACATTGCAAGTTACGAAAAGTCCGGGTAACGCCTGTCGACACCCCATTCGATGTCAAAATTCTACGTGCAAGTGTGCAGTTTCAGTTTTTTACACGATATCACGGTAAAATTATGCATACTAGAGCACAGGAATTTTAAGTGCACATAATTTAAACTCTACAACGAATTCATGGTTTAGTGTGGGAAAGTTGTACCCAGCTCGAATAGGAGTACGTTCGTGAGAAGTAGTGCGTTAATTGTCTAATAAAAGATTCTAGACGCCTTTTATTATCTATCTATAACGTACAGGTGCCACAGTTTTTATCCCGGTAAATTCGTCCCTCTGTGCATAATAAATGCGGTCTCCCGGTTCTTACCGGTAGTCCTGATACCGTCCCTCAAATAGAGTGTGCAGAATTTGCCATAAATATTACAGGTAGGCGTACATGCAGAAGGGAGGCTGTACATGGTGGCCAACATCTGTAACATCGGTAATACTATCCGGTGATTTTGCTACCTGCCCTAGAAATTAGGGAATTAAATTATTGGTTTGATATGGGGTCAATGAAGGTCATATAAACAAGGTGGAATCGTCTGTGATATTTGGGTTACCTTCATGGGATGAAATTCAAAGTATACTAACCGTGTGTAGGCCTAGGCCTACTGCGGAGTGATATACCAATGGTTGTACCAAAACGACTTGTTATTGTTAAGATATGTTATACCATCTTCTATTTTTATCAAACTTCAGGCTTTATAACGTGATTCCTGGGATAATACCTTGCTTGTGAAACATTTGTTTACGTTATGTTGAGTGTAGCAAACGATATCGCGATATTGAGTGGCAATGACAATGCATTTAATTTCCAGTTGAAATCAATCTGGTGCCTTGTAAAGCCTTAGACGCTGCACTTGCAATTAATTTTGTGATGTATGAACAGGAATTATGAATTTATCAAATGTAAACGAGCTCGCGCAACAGATGACATTGATATCAATACCATTGCAAAGAAAAATGTGAATAACATTCGTTAATTTCGAAGCCGAGTTCAACAAAAGGATAATTCCGTAAATCAGAACCAAATGGTAAAAAGTTAAAATACATCAAATGTGTATATGTGATGCATCATTTTGGATTGTGTTGAGAACTTTACCGGCATTACCATAGTTGAGGTACTGTATGGTATTAAGATTGCAGTTTTAAAATAATGCTAGTTACGAGATATGGTTTTGCAAATGTTAAAAATATGAGATCCCCAGTTAAGTTTGTTATCGATAGTCAAGCCAATCAATTTTGTCGTGATCACACGTTTAGCCTATTATCTGTACCATTAAAATCAATATTATTTGGACGTTTTTAAAGATTTACCGAATAACACGAACTTCACAGTATAATCCTGGACACAGTTTCAACTTTTATTTATGAAGAAACTTATTATTTTGGGTGTTTCGTTTTTCTTTTTTTTTTAAACCCAAAACAAAAGCAAACCAAACAACTGGTTTATTACTAGTATGATGAAAGCGCATCTGTTGATAATAATAGTAATTTCTGTGTCCTTTCGGACACAGAAAGTGGATCGTACACGTTTGGTACACTGATCTCTACTAAAATAGAGATCAGTGGTTTGGCAGAGAGAGGCTTGAAGGAGGCCACCTACCCGGGTCAACCATCCATCTCTTAACAAGGACGGGGGGAAACCAGGGGTGGCGCCAGGATTTGCCCGACGGGGGCGGAGGCCCGAGGTCCCCGACGAGGGGGCAATGTCCCCGACGAGGGGTCAGGTTTCCCCAAACGAAAGCAATGTGGGTGTGGTCAAGCTTCGATTAAAAGGTTTCGAAAGTGGTCCAGGGGGGAATCCCCCAAACATTTTTAACAATTTAAGGGTTTCAAAGGCTTATATAATCGATTTAGAGTCTACTAATATGTAGAAAATACTTATAATTTCTTTTCTCCCCGACCCGGGGGGGGGGGGCAGCACTTCCCGACTGTGCCAGCACTTCCCGGCTGTGCCCCCCTCCCGCTGACGCCACCCCTGGGGACACGGTATGAACTACCAAACGTCTACGATCAACTGGTTTAATGTTCACTGTAATTTTCTTTCAGGCATACATTGTCCTGACAACCGTACTTTCGAAAATGGATGGGTCCGGTACGAACTTCCCGGTGCGTTTTACAGTCAGCGTCAACTTGTACCAGGCACTGGAAAAACTTTTGGTTGTAGGTCTGGATTCTCGTTAGTCGGAAACAGAACCATCGTCTGCGGTACAAACGGGAAATGGACCACTAGAGACCCTGTTTGTGTGGCAGGTACCTTGATGACATTGAGCCTAACCACTCATATCTCAAGACCCAAAAATAGCTTCACTTTATAAAATGAGACGCTTATCTAGAGCATCATGTGTTCATGTTTGTCGTGTCGTGTGTTATTTTAAATAATAATAATAATAATAATAATAATAATAATAATAATAATAATTATAATAATAATATTAATAATAATAATAATAATAATAATAATAATAATAATAATAATAATAATAATATTAGGCGCCCTTCCAAAAGAGAACAGAGTAACGTATCACATTAAAACAGTTATCAATACACATGTAAAAGGCAAAGATAAATCATTAAACTATAGGGTTAAAACGACAATATCAAAAAAAAATATACCTGAAATTACAACAATAATGAATAAATTATATATTGTTAGTCTCAAAAGTGCTGCTGTTATTTACTTTATACTTTCTAACAATAATGAAGTTAAAATTCCAAAACAATCCTAAATTTTCGGAAACAAAAGGGTTTTTAAAACCTTTTTAAAATCAACCAAAGTTGGATTCACGGATGCTAAAACAGGGAATTTATTCCATAACCTGGGTCCAATGACACTAATTGCTTTGTCAACAGAAACCTGGTGGTAGGAACGACAAGTCTCGTGACATCAGCAGATGACCCTAATCCACCTCGACGGGAATCAAATCTGTGAATAAGATCTTTTAAATAAGCGGGAGTAGATCCATAGAAACAACTGTGTACATGCAATAACATTTTGAATTCTCTACCGAACTGGCAACCAATGCAACTCGTGAATACACCTTTCCGGAGTGTCAATCAAACTTAGCAACTGACCAATCAGAACAGCGCTAGGAATACGTGCGCGTCTCACAAACACACGTGTTGCCCCACAATCAAACGCACGTGTTTGCGTATGTTTTAACACTGTCGTCTTGTGGGACCTTAGCAACAATATCCATGACGCAAGGGGCGGAGTTAGCGGAGCACTAGTGCACCAGTCTACACAAACAATTAATTATACGAGCTGCATAATTCAGCAGTCTATAAAGCCTGTTTTCCACTAGGAGAATTTATTTGCGAGAATCAAATCTTCGGTACGCTTTCTGAGCTCTGATTGGTTGCGCATTTTTTCGCTTCGCAAAAACTCCGATAGGAATATGAATGTGCGGCGCATGAACCGACGCTTTCGATTCGCGCGAATAAATTCGCCTAGTGGACCGGCTTTGAAGCTGGTTTTCCACTAGACGAATTTAGTCACGCGAATCAAAGCGTCGGTTTGCTCCCTTAGCTCTGATTGGTTGTGCATTTTTTCGCTTCGCAAAAACTCCGATAGGTATGTGAATGCGCATGCGCATGAACCAACGCTTTCGATTCGCGCGAATAAATTCGCCCAGTGGAAAGCAGGCTTAAGGCGCTGAATGTTGGAATAAGAGATTCCCGGCAGAAACGAAATAACGTAGTCCACCCTAGAAAGTATAAAAAATCTTACCGCATGAGCACATATGTTTCTTTATCAATTCACATGATTATTCATTGTGAGATGCGGATTGAAATACATATCATTGACGTTAAAAAAAGACCAAAAACGGAAGCACAAAGAGGATCATAAACAAATATCAGTAGAAATATCAGTTTTAGGCCTACATAAAGAATTGATATTTTTAAGATTCGTGTTGGCCATTGTATGAAGATCTAAACAACTATGAGATTACTGTATACTCCCAGGATTTGATGGAAGATAAGAAATACGAACATGGCACAGTAGCGCATACTTATTGCAAGTTCAGCTACGCGTTAACGCACGGTGATGGCTCTACTGAGTGCGTTGCTGGAGATTGGCTGCCGTACATACCCTTCTGTAAACCGTATAACACATCGATGTACATAACAACTCCAGCCCCAGCAGGTGAAATATGTTCATGTTTATTATAGTCTAAATAAAGATTAAAATTGTAAATAATATAGGGCCTAGGTCTATAAATATCAGAAAAATTTAACTCTCATAAAAAAAAAATCAATATTTAGACCTAGAAAAACCTCTTTACACATGCCTAGATTATATTTTTTTAATTTATATCTTTTAATCATTGAGAGTGCATTGGTAGCCTACTGTAATAAACAGGGTGGCCGAGAACAGGCGTGAGCCCCAGACAGCGAAGATGCCGGAGACCCAGGAGCGGGCGTCTGGGAAGCGGCGGAGGAGCCCAGCGGGGTCCTCGTAGGGGCCCGGTGGGCGATGCCTAATTCGGACGATCAGAGACATAATAATAAAGAGTACGGTAGATAATATCACTATCTTGAAAAAGAAAACCCATTATGAAAATAGAATATAAGCTCAGTCAGGCAATTTGATCCAAGAAAGAAATAATATTTAAACCATCGATAAAAGAAAAAAAATAAAAACAAGTCTTCGCAAGGTAACGAACGAAAATACAGTATATAATGATTTAATTATTTGAAAAAAAAAAAAAAAAAAACACGTTTAATATAGGCCTCCAATTTGAGACACCTTTAGCACCGGAAAATTTGGGGCGATCGCTCATGGCTCGGTTGAAGAATATTATCTGGTTCTTTGAAAATGAAATGGTCTTGTGAATTACAGGGGGTTTCGAATTGAAGCGTGCACTAAATACATTATCTGGCTGAGACAACTGTAGTAGATAATTAATTACCAACTATGTGAATGCCGTTCAAAATATTTGTTTTCCCAAATACACCATGTTATTCTTTTAATTGTTATGTCCCGTGCCCATCCGGCTCCTGGGCATTGGCCCCGCCTGCCACGCCCCCACCCCCTTCTCGGCGGTAGTGGTAATTAATAATATGTCTTCTGTTAAAGCTTGATCACGTAAAAATGCAATAAATTATGCGATTATTATATCAGTATTTAATTTTTTTACCTAGGCCTATCCGATTAATTATTGGTCAATTTGGTAAATATTTGTATTGTCATGTCAAAAAAATGAAATGAAAATTAATGTATAAATATTGTTAAAAGGTTTGCATGACTCTCGGCCCCTCTATTTCAAATCTCTTGATCTGCCACTGATTATAAACGAAAACTTATATTAGTCGATTATAGCTATGGCGTGTCAAAACCCCTGTTTGCGTCACTTCATTAAACCATCAACTTTTTCCTTAAAATATAAATGCTTCTTTTGAATTTTACAGGTGGATGTCAGACGCCGTTCATTTGGTCCGGAAGCCTTCTTGGTAACCATGGAGATATTGTCCCCACTGGTACATTTGTTGAATACGAATGTATGCAATTCGCAGAGAAAACGGAAGAGGGCGATATTCGTTGTTTGGATGGAGAATGGTATCCATCGGAGCCCGGTTGTAGAGAAAGTATTTGAAAAATTTTTTTTCTACGTTACTCGTTTCAGTAATGAGATTATATTGTATTTATATAATGTAAATCTGCTGACAACAGGGTCATATAAAAATACAAGAGGACATATTATCAGACTCAGAGTCATCTTTACGCACTTAATTAGGCATAATATAATCAGAATGTATACCTCCATGCAAAACACTATTGTCTGAAAGAACATAATCAAGAATGCAGTGGAGACTTTCTCTATTCTTACAATTTCCACATAAAAAAAAATCTTCCTGTTGATCCCTATTTGTAAATGTATCTCCATATCATTTCCAAAAAATGCTATAAGCCTAACCCATTGAGAGTAGTACAAAGAGTTTTTTTTTCTCATGAAGGCTCCAAACCACGCCAGAAAATCTTGTTGTCTTCATTGCCTTGTTTAATGTTTAAATAGAAAATTTTCGATTTGCTCCATAAAATCAAACTTGTAAACCACCCCTAGCAGGTTTATAACCATAATCTACCATTCGGATGAAATGGAATTCTTTAGGGCCCCACTGGAATAAGTCTTACCGTTACGAGTTTATAATTATATTATAATATATATTATATATTATGTCTTGTGATCATTGATTTTTGTATGTGCTCTATTTTCGTAGAATCGTGCACCTATCCCGCTCTTACGATGGGCTTATATATACTTGATCGAGTCGAAGATGATTTTGTTCTACACGGTTCATTAATTAAATTCGGGTGCTATGCCGATTGGGAGATGAAAGGCGAAGCGTCCGGTATCTGTTGGTATGGACAGTGGAACATTAATACACCACAATGTGTGTCAGGTAGGCCTACCCTCAGTTATTAGGAATGCACCGTATTTTTTTTTTTATTACACTTAGATAGTAGGCTACTTTAACTTACCGTTCCAAGGTGATTATCTATATGTAGCCTAATGATGCGACTGGGCCCAGGTCCAATCGCCGTGTTGTAAGCATCTTAGAAGCAAAAGACCATTCGTAAACATATTTATTTATTTCATCTTGTAGACACAAGTGAATACTCGGAGTGTGGCTTAGCAGGTGACACTAGTGTGCAAGGCTTGACCGGTAGAATAATCGGTGGGTTCGATGCAAACCAAGGAGCCTGGCCTTGGCAAGCTGGAATATACTGGATGGATGGAAGAAACAAGGTACAGTTTTCCGAAGTGTGATATTTGAACATAAACTTATCATTGAAAAAAAATATTGTCTGCTGTCCTCTACCCCAAACGGGGTTTCAAATATTTTGTTTAGCACAAAAGAAAAAAAAGTCTGTGTTTATTAATTAGTATATTCGTTGATAAAAATAATGTTCCTGTCGATGCAAGTTGTGAAAATTTTTATATAATTAAAATTAAATCTATTTCGGTAACGTGCATGTTTTTTAAATTTCATTCGTAAAAGCATGTTCAATGAAATTTTATAGTTCTGTTATACTCAGATGAGCTTTCGTAATTGTTCTGAATGTCCAAAATGTATTTTTTTAAATAAGGTTAAACTATTAGTATATAAATTGACTTTGGCGTTGTGTACAATAATGTTATTTTAAGTCGTTTCTTTTTCTTAGTGGCACTTTTTCTGTGGTGGTAGTTTAATTGATAATAGATGGGTAATGTCAGCTGGTCATTGTTTCGGTTACGACGAGGACATCACCAAGATACAAGTTCGATTAGGTACCGTAACCAAACAGTAATGACTATTTACTATGACTTGACACGACAAGAATAATCTCTTACAATGCTATTGTTGTTTCTCTGTATTTGTTAATCGATGAGAAATTGTCGTATCTGGGTTACACGGAGGGCAGCAGCACCCCTGACCAAAAAAACTCGCGCCCTGGCTTTAGCCCCTCATTGAAAATGTTCGAAGCAAAAAGAAATGATGTTCATGTAGTTAAAAATTACCTCATATCACCTTATTTTGTGAGATAGCGCCCCCTTACTTAATCATCGAGTCCCCATTATCATCCCCCACCATTTTATTATTCTTATATGCACCACAGGTTATATGAGCTACGTATTTATGATTTTATTTTTAGTGTTGTATTGTTGTCACTTAGGTACAACGGACCGAACAGGTGACAGAGGCACGGATAGAGAACAAGTTTTGCTGATCGATGCGCTTTATCTACCAAAGCAACACGATTTCCGTGGTTTCGACTACGATATCGCTTTACTACACCTTGACCGAAGTGTCGCACTAAACCAGTACGTTCACACAATTTGCCTCCCACCAGAACCAGAATCAAGCAACCCAGGTATGGTGCTTAAGCATAAGATAGTATGGATACATCTCCAAGTACCGAAATGCACGCCATCGTGTCGGGATTCAATAATATTGATTATTTCGACATTAATTATGTCATCATCAGGAATGAAAAATTATCCATATTTGCAAGCTTATATGCACAAGTACCATAAGTGTTTGACCAATCAAAACATTTATATTGCCTTATGTATGATACTAATTAAATAAAAATGATGTATAGTGCAAAGCGTACATAACCGTATACATAAGGACTTAAGTTAAAATCCTTGCATGCATACCCCATTATTTTAACTGCCATTAAAATTACGTATTATTATTTTTATTTCTTGTCTTTAAAAATTGAAATTAAAAAAATCAAAATTATTTTATCTTTAAAATGTATCTCAATAATCAACATTAGTCAACACAATGTCGTAAAAAATAAAAATCCCAAGAATATAAATTAAAAATTTTCGGTCATTTCGGTCGAATATTACATTAGAGCAAATTCATGTTCTGAACATTTTGCAAAAAGTAATTGCCAGGATATAAGAAGCCTATAATTTCACACCGAATTTTGCATAATGTAAATTCTATATATTACTCTCTTATTACATCTCCATATATAAAATCCAATCCTTTTTCTAAAAATTTGTTTCAATTAAAGACCACTTTCGAGACGGTGGGTTTCTATTGTTTATAGCAGCTTTGGTCTCTAATTAGAATATTAAAGATAAAAGACATTTTTTTATTTGGGGATTACAGAGGAGTGGTCTTTAATTGGAGGTGGTGTTTAATTAAAGAGGTCATTAAAGAGAGACCCGTATTTTAAAAAAATGTCTTATATCCAGGCTTCCATTTTCAAGACTCACTGTCAATACTTCATGCCACTTCAATCTATGTTGTTCTTCATCCTAGGTCCATTCATTTATCCTTGTTCTGTCACTTTTGTTTAATGTTTTCTTCTAAAAATGTACTTTGTACTTTTGTAGTTTCTGTATACTCAAGCTTTTCCTTTTTAGTTGTTAAAGTATTGTTTTTATCAGTCCCTCTACCTAATTCGTACCTATGCTATTTCTCCCACTTCAGAATCATTTTGTGGAACTTTGAACAAACTGTGTCTTTTTTTACAGATGGATTGGTTGAAGTTGGTGTTTCAGCAACTGTAGTTGGATGGGGGCACTTCACACCGGTACACTGGAACAGCAGTGAGATGACCAGTTACAAAAACGACCTTCAGCAGCTGACCATACCTATTCGACCGCGAAAGGTGTGCATAAATAGCTTGAAGCAAGTCGGCGAAGATGTATCCCAGTTCACCAACACCATGTTTTGCGCAGGTTTTAACAAAAAAGCAAAGGACACATGTTTCGGTGACTCGGGTGGCCCGCTTATGCGCAATGTTATGCATAATGGTAAGCGGCGCTGGGTACAAGTGGGGATAGTAAGCGCGGGAAAAGGGTGCGCCATTTCAGGCCAATACGCGTACTATGCACACATTCCAAAACTGTTACCTTGGATAGGGCAAGTGATGACCAACTATAAACCTACAAACGGAAACGCTCTGATACAAGTATAACTCATGCTTTTGTTGAACTATGCACAGCCATAGGCATAATTATTATTATTGTAGGCATAATAATGATTTTATCTTTATTAAATTTGTTTTCCCTTATAGTTATTATTAGGCCTATCTGTTATGTAAAATCCAATGTGATTCTTCCTTTCACCTAACGACACTATACTCAGAGATATTTCAGTTTTCATTAAAAAAAATATTAAAGTAGGCTTATTTAATGTATGGTCTAAGAGATATAGGCCTATAAGTAGCAACTTGCTGTTACTCATAACATGGCATACGGTACGGTAACGAATAGAATAAGCCATGAGATTTCAAGACAGTTTCGAGTCCCCGAAAATCATGATTTTTATAACTTTAAATATTCCAAATTTCATTGAATATATATTTATCAAAAAGTATCTCTTAGCTTAAGTAATGTACATGCTAAATCATTATCTGAACATTCAAATTCATCCTTGTTATTTACAGAAATCCTGTATTATATCGACAAGTTGGTATATAATTTATACATATTAAAAAAAAAACAATAATGTATGATAACAAATTGCTCTGATGTTTTCAAAATTTCATCAATCTTTATTATGGAAATTTTCATCAATTATTATATAGTTTTTCTCACTATGAATTTTATTTATAGAGTATACATCAGATTATTGCCAGTGTTATATACATTCTAAATCATTATCCGAACATTCAAATTGACAATTGTTATTACCGACAACATATACATTATGTCGATAATATGGTATATAATTTATATACACACACACACACACACACATATATATATATATATATATATATATATATATGTGTGTGTATAATATATATATATTAAATAAAACCATATAACGTAACAATATCTTTCTGATGTTTTCTCCATTTTGATGAATCTTTATTACAAAAGTTGCCATCAATTATCTGTTCATTGAATCTGAACGATTTACGTTAATAACATAAAAGCAATCGTCAATACCACAGCTTTGAGTAATCTTCCCGCGTATTCCCTCGAGGATAAATAACATTTAACTAATTCGTTTTGGGGCTCATAAGGTCCTGACAATCGACAGAAAACTAGACCAGTGATAGGCATCGCCAAACAATTACACAGTATGATATATGTAAAACTCAGAGGATGGTGATGAAGACATATTATCAGCCACCTTGTACTGATGATCGGTTCGATATCTCCGCCTGTAAAATAATCTTCTGCATTGCAGCAAGCCAGGCACAGAGGAAGGTATGAATTATCGCTTTGGTTGTCCATAGCGAAGTGTTGATATGAAGGGCCAATTATGTTTTATTAATATTATAAAATTTCTATACTGTAGAATGTGTGTAAATTAGTATTCATATAATGCCTCCTATTATTATGTTGGTGAAATCTGTATATTGTGTTAATCCAGATATACACTGCGGGTCGAGTTGTACGGTTGTCGGCTGACGAAAGCATATCCGCTCTATATATAACGTTAAAAGTTTAAACAAAAAGATAAGATACGGTAACATTTAACCTTAAATATTAGAGTAAAATGTTGTGAGCTTATTTTTATTTATTTATTTATTTATTTATTTTACCTCAGCCCACCATGGTGGGCTGAGGTAAGAAGATTTATGATTATGGCACCTCTAGATGGCCAGAAATGACACTCTCAGACTTATATTTAAAAATAATTTCCTTTTTGTTTGTATAATTTTGTAAACTTTAAGGGGCTTGGGGCAACAATCTTAAATCCGCCACCGGGGAGTCACGGAAATGGTAAGCATTCTACTCCTACCGAAATACTCAGCTACCGTGCACTGTACTGTTCTATTACATTGCATAACAAATTCAGGTGTATGTTGCTTCTGTAGTGACATAGCCTCGTTCTATATTTTGTAGATTCGTGTTAGAGTAAAATTATTATTTTACAATATAAAAAATGTTGTCCTTACTTAATTTAGTGTAGGCCTATGATACGTAATCTAAAACGATCGTTCATCCATTCTCAATCGGATTCTCAATCCTAAACTGAACGTGAATGAAGCTAACAGCGCAACTAACAACGGGTTATGTAGGCCACCGAATCTTTAAATATGCTTCTTGTTATTTAATTCATCTAGCTCAGTTTTTTAAAATTTAAGCCCTGTCATAGTTCGGGCTTTAGTGGCACTCTCACTTCGAATGTATTGCATACATTTAAAGATATAAGCCTACTAGGCCTAATATCTATATTAAAATCCCCTCAAACATTCAATACAAACATACAGACCTATGTAAATGGATTCAAAGTTGTGCTAACTTCCAGTAAGGCACAGATTAAATCCAATTTTGGCGGATGGTTTTACAACCCAACCCTTAAATTGACTGCCGACCTATTTAAGAGTCTGGGAACTAATACTGCACCTTTGTGCGTCTGGTTATTCAAAATGAACATGATTAGGTACACCTTAAATACATAAAATATGCAATCAAAAAATATATATATTTCTATATTGTTTAAGTAGAGCACAGGCTATCTTTAAGCAATGTGTAATTTAACATATAGGCCTATGTCGATCATTCATATAACACTAGGAAAGTTATTTTTTGATAAGCTATAACTTGTATCGTCGATATTAATTATTATAACAGTTTCTATGACATCGTTTTATCATCTGCTGTTCGTATCAATTTATGCAAAATGAGATGAATTTAATCTTGAAACTATACCTGTACACCATGGTTTTATCACACACGTCATACACAAGCCCTTATCTAAATTATGGCTTTATGTATTAATTGAGTGCATTATGTTCGGATCATGTAGGCCACCGAATCTTCATGCTTCCAGTCGCTGTGAACTTTGAAACACGTTATTACTATACAGACAGCCTGATGTAGAAAAAGTACCTTTTTATATCAATGTGGCGAGAGATTTCTTGGTTAGAAAAGAAACACGGAGGTAAATGTAAGTACTGTATTTGCCTGGCAATGATACATGGGTTAGAGCCCAATAACACTAGTCACGTTAACTTTCTAGACGTTATAAAAAATGTATGATTTTTCGGAATATACTGTATTATTACATCTGGAGTTGAGCTACTTTGATCACAGTAAACTAATAATAGGCCTAACTAAACTAGATTTTTGCCTATAAAACGGTAATGTGTTGCTGTCTTAAGAGCCGTGAAGTATTCCGAATATTACGTATAAATTACATAATGCTGATGGATTATTAACTCATACCGTAATAAATTATGTTAATTTAATGATTATATTTATGAAAATGTTTAATATAGGCCTATTCCGTTATCGCGGACTTGAGTGGGGCGTGAGGGGCTGGCGTACGCACCCCCTTATTTATTGTAAAACATGCTGTAAAGCTTATTAGAAAATGTCCATGCTAAATAGTAAAGTTACAACCTCAAAGGTGCCAGACCTTCAAGAAGGATCCGTCCTCTTGCACTCCTACCAAGGGCTACCTGCTCTCACATTCACACCCCCACCCTTTCTTAGCAGGTTGGATCTGCACCACACCATCTAATTTTCTGTAATACTGTATTCGATCCATCACTGCAGGAGTACAAAAATCAACCTCATATCAAGATTAAATTATAATCATGTGGACATGGGATTACTCGGACTGAAACGGAATGCTTGATCGTTTGGTCTACGTGATACCAAAGGGAAATCATAAGAATACAACCAGATGACATAATTCAATTTAAAAAGCGCAGACGATTAAAGATAAACGGCAATGAACAAGCGGTAATTGAATTATGGATAACATTCGCGGGCTATTATCGACGCATTCATTTTTTATTTTAGGTTGGTTTATTTTCTAATCCAACTATAACCTCATTTAAATGAGCATAGGCTCGTTGCAGGGTTGTAGGGTTACTCTATAAATTGAAAAAAATGAAACATCTGGTAATTAACTGATTTTTTCGACCAATTTCTTAATAATGTATTTTATAGTCTTATGTTAATGTAATTATAATTGTTTATTGTTGAACTAGGCCTACTATATTTACTTGACAATTTCATTTGTAATATTATTGGTTAAGGGTCTTGTTTTTAGTGACCATGTTTATATTATGTGGCCCCGTTATTTGTTTTCTCCTAGAAATGGTAATGTAAGCTCAAGCAAGTTCAGAAAATATATAATCTGTTTCAGGAAAAAAAAAATGATTTTGACCGCTTTGTGCCAAAATTCAGTCAGGCAAACATGATTGCCTCTGGCAGTTCTAGGCCTACGTCAAAGCTCGCAAAAATAACATCACCGTAAACATTGTAAAACAGATAGCCGTTAGTTAATAATTATTAAAAATAGCATATTATAACTTCAGTATTTCTATAGAGTGTAGCATTACGCTAGCCCCTTCCAATTTGTTTTCCACTTTCAATAAAAATAGGCCTACCTTTAGTTTAGTACTAGTAGGCCTGGTTGTTTCTTTTTGTTTATGACATCAAGAAGCCGCCATGATGCTTTTAACGTCACATAGGCCTACATCTAAAGTGGAAAGCCAAGTTAAAATAAATTAACAGACATTTTAACAGTTAAGAAGTACAGTAACATTATGCTAAAGTAAAACACCCTTTTCTAAGCGGATCATTGATGGCTAAGCTATAATATGACGATCTTTTCATTGTACTCCACGAGAAGCCTCTTGTAAGTTACTATGTCTATACAAAATATACAGACAAACTTTTTTTTTTAGATTTGGGGCCCTAATTACCTGTTTTTTTTTTGTTTTTTTTTTAATAAGATGCATTTACAAAAGCAGAAAAAAATATTACGGTACAATTTGTTGGCCATGAGTTTGTCTTTTTGAAGGCCCCTATGCATTCTTAGGATATTTGAATGTTGTCTTTTTTAAGTCTTATGAATTTATATAGCGAATAACATCACCTTTTCTTCATGTGTGTTCATGTGGTTCGTAGCTATTGATTGACGTGATTATCTCCGTATCGTGTCATGGGAAATTGCGATTTATTAGTTAGTTATTGAATCACTCTCTGTCATTTATCCGGTCCGATAGTCCTTAAAAAAATGTTGTTAACATCACCACTTGCTTTACGGACCTAAATAAAAAAAAAATCATCCAAACGTATCACGTTCTCTTTGGGAAAAACGAAAGAAATATACTACCGAGCAATCTAAAAATGACGTGTCGAGGTCGTTCGGACCTCGAGGCATGCCCTCAGTAGATATAATATAGGCTTAGAGGCTATCAGTACTTTCCGAGAAGACTATCGACAAAGAATGACACATTAAGAAATAATATTCAACTTGTTATGAATTTCCTGAATGACAAAATCGAAGGCTTATTGAACGAATTTAATTGGTTATAGTCGCTCCCTTCATATCGGCTGAAACTTAGCACGCACAGAAGAAGGAATTCGTTTAAGCATCAAGTGTGCTCACAGCAGTGCACCAGGCACCTGGATCAGTAAAGTAGCTAAGTGGAGCAAGCACAATAGGCCTATATTAAGCCTGGAATCATCATCGACCAAGGTAAGGCAATCCACTGGCCTACTAGGTACCTTTTTATGATTAGGCTTTAAGGGTTTTTATTCAAACTTCATTGAAGTCATGAACGTCATGATCATTGATGCTCAGTAGATTACAGTAATCGTTTAATAAAGAAAATAATTGATCTCGTATAAGCCACACGACCAGTGACCAATGGCAGGCAGAGCCCACAAAAGTCAATTAATACAATAATACCTGTCTCTTATACACATCTAGATGTGTATAAGAGACAGCTTTAAAACAGTGTGTTATGCCTACTACTAAAACAATCATAATTACATACATGCATATCCACAAGGCTTATAGTGCTTACCAAAATTATTATCGAATAATAGACCTTATTCGGATTAAATCAGAATGCCAATGAGTAATTGAAATAAAGGACAGATTGAAAGCAACATGACATAAGAATAATAATTAGCTTATACCGGTAATAATATTCCTTGCCGAGCCACTAGGGCTCATAGGATTGGAGCTTATCCCAAGTTTTAGCGTGAAGCGGTTGATAGCGTAATACTCTCCTTGGCCTAGCAGTGGTGTACACTCACCTCACAATCATCGAGCCTCCCCCACTTCACATTTGCGCTCCCCTACCCCATTATCCCCCATTTCAAGACTCCTAGATATGCCTACGTCACTGGACTGAGGCCTAGTTGAGAGACTCTCATCACCCTGTGGGGATAATTTGCAAAACCTGTCAGTCACCGGCGATGGAAGATGTTCGACAGAAGTTGAATTATTTGAAGAGGAAGGATTTAAGATTAGACAGGCACACATCTGTTACCATTACAATTATACAAATAATAATGGTTGTAATGATGACGATAATAATAATATAAGAATTTACCGTACAGTATACAACGCATTTTGGTTAAGGACACTGGCAATTGCATCTACTGTATATTGACAAATCGTCACAAAGTACAAGCTTCTCCACTTCTTGGAGAATATTCCAGTCGAGCTGAAATTTCATACGCATCAACTCATATATTCACTGCTACAGCATCCTATCAGATCAAATAACAAAATATAAAAAAAATGTTCACATGCCACACTGCAAAACGTCAGTTGTATCAACCAAGGAGGTATTTATATTCGCCTGATGACGACCACTGTTCGTCGAAAGCTCGAGCATTAAAAACATTGTTAGTCTGTAAAGTGTTGACTGTCTTTAATTTGCTGTTCATCATCTACACTACAGTTAACACGGCTACTTTTCACTTCATCATGTTGCCAAAGATATATACCAATCAACTAAAATTGCATGGTGAACTAATAGGTACATGTATAGGAGTGTGTTGGTATGGATGAACAATAATAAAAACCAGCACCAAAGGAATTACTTAGTGTTCTCTTACTTATTATTGCCAGGTTAGTGAACAAAATTATGATAAAAATTGCTAATTTTTGAAAATTCAAATTGTTAAAAATTTTTTTAAAGTAGCCGGATAGTTTGTCAGCCTAGAAAAAGTGATAAATTTGTTGCATTGCGAGGTAGAGTTGTATCTCTTTAGTTAAGATACTTGCCTTCCAAATCCAGAGTCCTGTGTTCAATTCTCCTCAAATTCATGTGAGCAGAAGAGCCAGATATCAAAGGGATGCTAGTTATTGTCTCAGGATTTGTTCTCACACTCCCCCAAGTCGCATAACGTTTATGTAGAGCATAATTGTCTGTACGTTTGCCTTGTGAACGGGATGGTCAACTATAAGTATGACAGTGATTATATTGGCAATCCTTGGTACATGTATCTAATAATAATGAATAAAAAAATAACCTTTCCTGAGAAACGTGGGGCTCGCCATACTTTTTTGATGCATCAGAGAAAAATTGTTTTACCTATGCCCACTATAGGCCTAGGTTGTGACGATAACAAAGAGGATTTCCAATGGTAGATTGTAGAAATAACGAAGCTAATGCACCAACAGAGTTTACTGCATTAATTTTGAAAAGACCTATATGCCTAATAGACTCGGTAAAAAACATATATGTACTGCTATGTGAAGGAGAATTTTCCATACTACCCTAACTTGTTGCTTTTTAACAATCCGCCAGACTGCATCGCATGATCTATTTTGTTTGTAAATATTAGGCCTATGTGTTTTCTGGAAATTAAATGAATTGAATTGAACATATTAACTTTAGATTATTTAATTTTAGGCCATACTTATTATGGGGGTCCATTTTTAATAGATATGACGTCGAGGGTTTTTGTATCTAGGCATACTGCCCCTCAGGGGACTGTAGTCAATATGTTGTTCCGCAACAGTTGACCTTTCTAATTCCGGTGGAGTATATAATAATAATAATAATAATTTATTGACATACACCATTTATATCGGTGGCACTCAACAGGTGGTGCGTCAAGCATCTTAACTAATACAAAAGTAATCTTAACTAATGAAAATATACAGTAAAGTAAAAGAAAATAAAAATAAAAAGAGACATAAAACACAACAACACAAAGTCAATTTAATCTTTAAGAAGATCACATCATTTCTCCATGCTCTTTTTGCTAAGGATTTGCAAAATTTGTCGATCAAGATTTTAATTTTTTTATGGAATAAGTTATTGTCATTACCGAGAATAAAGAGTAACTTGTTTTCAATATCTAATTGTTGGAATTGTTGGAAAACGTGTAGGAAATCGTTAAGAGAGAGTTGATGTTTAAACTTCTCGATTTCCTCATTTCTAATATAATTTAGAGCAGGGCAAGTTAATAAAAAGTGAGTAATATTTTCTTTTTCGTTTATATTACAGCATTTACAGAGCCCATTAGCATTAGGGTCATTAGACCATTTCGCTACTTTACCATCAAGAGGAAGGGTATTCGATCTTAATTTGAATTTCAATGATTTTAAAAGCAATATCATGAAGGTTCTCCGACATATTCACAATAGTTTTTAAAAATATTTTTGGCCAACGATTGTCTTCCATCGTTAAAATTCTGTCGATATAATTAATTCTATGTAAATTTTGAATATGAGAGATTTTTGACCATCCAAGATCACCTACAACGTAACAACGGGGGGCCTTAATATAAATTTTGCCATTTGCAATTGCAATCTCTCAATTCTTTCACAGTCACTCTTACTCCCTACCCAAATCGGGCTAGCATAGTTTATCGATGGAAGAGCAAGCGTTCGCCAAAGAATGTCCCCATAATACACTCTTTTAAAACTACTAGGATTACCAATAATTGCCTTTATATACCGTAACCAATAAGTTTGTTACATTTTTGAATTACATGTTTAATATGTTTGTGATCCTTTAAACATCTTGATATAGTAACACCAAGATATTTATAGGGTTCACATTCATTTATGAATAGGTTTCCTAGCTTCCATGTTTTATTTCTGTCCACTCTCTTTCCCACAACAAGTACATTAGTTTAAGTATGGTTAAATTCCAAGTTCCAATCTGCAGCGAATTTAGCGCTAAGTCTAACATTTGAATCATTTGTCGTTCATTTTCTGCAATCAGAATTATATCATCGGCCCAAAATAGGGCTCCATGCCATGTGTTATTAATATTATGAACACCAATATCGTTCAATTTTAAAATGTTTGTAAACTCGTTAATGAATATGCAAAATAGTATAGGAGATAGGACACATCGCTGTTTAACACCCTGTTCAATAGAAAATTCTTCTGTCAAATTTACTGTACTGTATCGCCAAATTTTATTTTTCCTTTAGTATTGGCATACATATTGTCAATTACATTTTTTTAAATAAGAACCAGTAAAATTTTGCCCAGGCTCAGTGTTCTTATTTTTTGGCCAATTTCAGGCTCAAAATGTTCTTATTTCGTTCTTATTTTACACACTTTTCAAACATAGAAAATTATTATTGTACAGCAGTCTACACTGTTACTGGGAGGTGAAAGCGGCCCTGCAAAAAATGACCCCTGGATGAACGGCCCAGCAAAAATTGGCAACACAAAAAGTGGCCCCAAATGGGAGGTAGGTACACCTACTGCACTTTATTATAGAGGGTATTACATAGTCACACCTAATGCACATAAGGTACAGATATAATTTGTTGGTTTTTCTAGTTTGACATTCTACCTCAGCCTCAATTTGTTCTTATTTTGTTCTTAATTTTTAAGCAAAGTCAGCCTCAGTGTTCTTATAAAATGTGTTCTTATATTTAAAAAAAAAGTGTAATCTCCAAAGACGACCCCTAATTCCAACATTCCAAATAGCCTTTAAAAGTCCATCCCTCCATACTGAATCGAATGCCTTTGTGTGGTTAGTAACAGTAACAGTTGTCCTGGTAACAGGATAAGGATATCGCTGTCACTGTAATACTAATGTATCTATTAACAGGAAATACCATGGTGTATTGTACAATGAATAGGCAATTATACATGACAGTATAATATCAACACCCTTACTTACTCTCATGATGTTAAACCATTAAATCATTAATCATTTTCCACTTCATCATTTCTACAAAATTAGGCAGTAGACACACGCTCCCGCTGGGAGCCCATTTTTTGTGATCCTATATTGTATTAAAATGGTTACATCGGATGGTGGACATGGTAATCTAATCCTAAGTACACATTTTTTAAGGATTATTTTTGTTCATTCCGGAAACATTGGGAATAATGTTTAGCAAAGATAAGAACATTAAAGGTCTTACTAGAAATGAGAATGCATTTTATTACTGTTTGCAGACAAAATAACATTTACTTTCGATGCGAATAAACTCTGTGACGTAAGATTAGATTAAGTTTGTTGTTGAGGGACTTTCATTTTTAAAGGTTAGGCCTACATTGAAAGAACAATCTTGATAGCTCCAAAAGTTTAGATATATTTGACTACTCGCCAACTATGTATTCTCATTTCATTAAAAATGTATTGTAAGAGGATTGTAGATGAGAGTTCAACTTGCCTTATGCGTAATGTCGTGCGTACGCCATATAGTGATGTGCACCACTGCCATTGTCAAAGTGCGCCTACTGTAACTTCAAATATACACACAAAACTAGCAGAATGAACTCTCGTCCACTTCTATACTTTTTGCTTGTAAGCAAGACACTTCCAACATCAATTATGTTGATTTACACTGTATTCGACTGACTTTAAAAATCCTAGTTATTAATGTTTATCATATTTACTATATTTCAGAAAATTAAATGATTATGGCCGGAACTATGGTAACTGTTACTGATACTGTTACAGAGATTATGACAAACATAACCACCAATGGTATGAGAAATATGACGACTGATAACGTATCCATGGAAACTAAAGATGGTGATGCTGGTAGAATGCCAGATTTTACCTATTTTTACATCGACTCAACTAATGAAGCAGAGTTTTTGTACACCACAGTGGCTAAGATTATTATCTCCATTATCATACCAATATTCTTTATAATTGGTATTCTTGGTAACCTAGGATTGCTCGTAGTATTTGTACGCATACGCACATTGCGCAACTCAATCAACATTTATCTTCTGAATATTGCCGCATGCGACTTCTGTTTCCTTGCGACTGCCGGGCCTATCTTGTGGACTAACTTTAGCAGCAGCCCGGTCGAGGACGACTTTTATCACGTTGGCACTGTGGCGTGTAAACTAAGCATAGCTGTAGTGGATGCATGCATTGTTGTCTCGTATTGGACATTCATGTTAGTTACCGTCGACCGGTATCTTTCTATCTGCTGGCCGATGAAATTCCGCAACATAGAAAATCCCAAGAGGGCGGTCGTACTGTGTATCATATTGTGGATTATGGTGTGCGTTTACAAATCCCCCGTATTGTACTTTTCAACTTTATTTAACGTGAACCTCGAGTGGGTGAATACAACATTAATTGACCCCTCTACAGCACCTTCAGAAGTTGCATACTGTCTGGTATGCGACGGGCGTCCAGGACAACCCACAGAGGATGCATGCACAATAATCAATAACCTCTACATCGGTGAACATATTATCTTGGTTGGGATGGTGCCTATATTTGTGTTTCTTTACTTTAGCATGATTGTTTGCCTCCAACGTCAAATATCAAAACATGGACAAAATGACGTTGTGCAAGCTAAAAAGCACGTGATAACCATGCTGATGTTGACAACGCTCGTTCTCTTGGTAACGACAACGCCAGCCCGGGCGCTGTTTCTCATCCTTGCATCTAAAACACTGATGATCTCACAAACAACCGTCGTGTCTATACTGTACGCCAGTAAGTGTCTCACGTTTGTAAATGCATCAGTAAATCCCTTTATATACATTACAATGAGCACAGGCTACAGGAACGCCTTCAAAACGTGTTTTCTTCCTCGTGCGTGCATAGGAGATCAGCAAAATGGAGACGACCAGCAGCGGCTGAAGTCCAGCAAAGCCACCAGTGTACTTTCTCTCAATAATATTGGCAGAAACAACATATTGATTCAACAACCAAATGACGAGGCAGTATTAAACTGATACATACGGGCTAGAACCTAATAAAATAATGTTGGTTTTTACCAAAAGTCCGGCCCATACATCCCTGTCAAAACACGTACGACAAAATTATAGGCGCATACACTTTTTTAAAATGCACCCATAAGCTTTACTAATGATCAGCTGTGCTTACAAAAATTTGCTTGCAACATTATTTTAAAAAGTTATCTTAGAAGAGTGTTGGCCTACTTCTTTTCGACTTTTTTGCCCCATGGACTGGTGGTTTATAATAGGCGGAAGAATGTTTTGCCATTGTGGCGCAAGTGGCAATCAATGACCTAAGGTCCGAAAAAAGCGGAACCTATGGTCGTCGAGAGAAGAATTTTCTGGGGTATTTGGAAGCTTCAGAGTTGTAGTCAATTTAATCTCCTATCTCTGTTTACACTCGTTCAGTATTTTTAAAGCCTGCTCCCGGGAGGTAGGAAGGGGCGAGCACCACTTTTGCCATCTCCGTCGCCGCTGAAAATTTAATATAAAATGTGTATAGACGCTATTATAAAGAAATATTGCTAACAAACTCCTAAAGTATGTGTTGTTGAAACCATGGAGGAAATATATTTCCTCCATGTTGAAACTCATTGGGCTGTAAACTGGCAGATTACGAATGAATTTATGCAGACCTTCGTAGAGACACTGTCTAATATTGAGTTCGCTTTTGGTATTTTTGTGGGGATTGGGGGGGGGGGGGGGGGGGTGTTTGTTTGTTTTGTTTATTCTTTCTTTTTACATTATAAGATAATATGTGTGGCGAAAATAGATAAATCAAACAGAAAACCGATAGCTTGAGTTTGAGTGATTGCTTTGAAAACGAGACACGATAATGATTATAATAATATGATGTCTTAGGTGATAAAAACGTTGGTCACCATCGTATTGATTTAAGCAAAATTTGTGACGGGTGGTGATGTTATGTCAATTACGACTTTATTAGTGACATTGACTACCGTACGTTATGATGATTATAATGATGAGGATGATGATGATGATGATGATTATGATATGGCACGATGATATGTTTCCATATATCAAGATATTTGTTGATATGATAATAAATTTGAGAATTTCTATAGCGCCTGTTAGAAAAATATTATTTGTGAACAATATCACTTCAAATAACTGCATTAGAGGGAAAAAATATATATTAAGAGAATTTTAACTCCGGAATTTACTAATAGTATTAGAAACAATTGATAAGTTACAGCTGGCGGCTGAAACTTATATTATACCTAGTTTAACATTCTGCTACATTTTGTAACGTAAACTATGTAATTGATATTGATCATTGTTTTTGGTATTTTTGTAGGGATGGGGGGTGGGGTGTTTGTTTGGTTTATTCTTTTTTTTTACCTTGTAAGATAATATGTGTGGCGAAAATAAATAAATCAAACAGAAAACCGATAGCTTGAGTTTGAGTGATTGCTTTGAAAACGAGACACGATAATGATTATCATAATATGATGTCTTAGGTGATAAAAACATTGGTCACCATCGTATTGATTTTAGCAAAATTTGTGACGGGTGGTGATGTTATGTCAATTACGACTTTATTAGTGACATTGACTACCGTACGTTATGATGATTATAATGATGATGATGATGATGATGGTGATGATGATGATTATGATATCACTTCAAATAACTGCGTTAGAGGGAAAAAAGATATATTAAGAGAATTTTAACTCCGGAATTTACTAATAGTATTAGAAACAATTGATAAGTTACAGCTGGCGGCTGAAACTTATATTATACCTAGTTTAACATTCTGCTACATTTTGTAACGTAAACTATGTAATTGATATTGATCATTGTTTTGATATCAGAGAGTTTCTGTAAACTTCATGCAACTGGAACGATGAAATTGAGACAGGAAGTAGATACATTTTAACACCTACGCATTCTTATCAAGACCTACACGCGACGGAATTAATCGACGCATTAGTTAGAGATTTGTATATTGGAACTTATAATTTATTTGAAAGATTTCCCAGGCCACTGTAGTGCACTGTATCTCAGTTACAAGCATTATATTTAAGAATAATGAAAACATGCTTACTCACATTTCATCACCATAAAAAACGTTTAATTAATTGTTTTTAAAGTCAGGCTCCGGAGGAAAAATAATTTTTGATATGTTGTAGAACTGATTTTTCTAAGACAGAAAAAAGTTGTTTGACGAAAAACTGGGGAATAGAACGATAAGTTATATAGAGAAGGCTTGTAGCATCTGTATCTCATTCACCGTTCCCCAGTTTTTCGTCAAACAACTTTTTTCTGTCTTAGAAAAATCAGTTCTACAACATATCAAAAAATTGTTTTCCTCCGGAGCCTGACTTCAAAGTAATAAATTGTAGAAAAATTGCCTTGATTTACGAGAAAAGTTTAATATTGTGTCTACTAATACAAAGATATCTAATTTAATAGAGGACCTACTCTAATACCATACAACTGGTTTGTATGACATTAATAACCTCATGGATCAATGATTATTCTACCTTACAGTCTCATATGCTAAAAGTTTATTTTTGAAGGCTCAATTTTCTTGCTAACGTTTAGGATACACGCGCTCAAAGCAGGGGGTAGGTCTATGTATTGGTTTTATATGAAAATCTAAACTCAAGAGGACATAGCATCTTACCGTGGAGAACTACGCAAATATATATCTTTTTTACCCGTGCTTTACAATAGAAGATCACGAATTGAAACGAAGAATGAACACTTATTATCGTTTAGGCCTGCGTCCAATATTTAGAATATTTCAATATATAGGTATATGCTTCTTGTTTCAAGCTGTAAAAGGTTATTCTACATGTCAACCAGGTAAGAAAAATACCTTGTTTTTAGCAAAATGTTATGAGGTTATTGCCTCCTCGATAGCTATGAGCGGTAATGTAGTAACGAGCAGTAGGCCTATGGTACTTTGATGCAATAACAATCCGGAACGTGGTCGTTTGGTGCATTTTATAACTTCCGCCGATATTGGGATGATGTGCAACAGACTCTATCAGAATTGGGATAGCAATATACGTAACAATATATTTTATGTTTAAATGATTACATTTTTAAATGTTTTTGATAATTTGTTTAAAAAAAACCCCAATATGTAGGCGTAGGCCTACTTTTTTAATTATAAATCGTGAATTAAAAAAAATAATAATAGTACTAGAAATTTTTCCCTTCCAAGTGAAAATTTATGGGTTAAATCTTGTATAATTGTTCTTTTAAAACTGAAATGACTGCATTTCATAGCCCAGCAGACACAAAACGTTATTATATTATGTGGTGGTTAGGTTATGTACAAAAATTACTATGGCACTGAGCGTTTCAGCAACGGTTGCAACGTCATTTAGTCAGAAATTACGTTATAAGTACGTATTTCTGTTTAATTTTTTTACTTCAAAGTTATTATAACGTCACGTGTTAAAAGGCAAGTCTAATATTATGACAAGACCTATTTATATTGAGACATTGTTGAATGAAATAATATTGTCAAAATAGGTATAGACCTACATGACGTAAAAAAACGGACTTTAGACAGTTGTTATAAATTAGTACTGTACTGTTACTTTGACACAACGGCACTTCACAGCAATGACTAGCTAGATGAATAGGCCTAAGCTAATTACTGTACTAGCGGTTTTAAAGACCCTGTTTTAAATAATGGACCATTTCCGAGTTTCAATCAAACTTAATAATTATCATGAATATGTATAGAACAGAAAAGTTCTTGGAACTATACAGATATAAACTAGGCCTACAGTACTTCCAGGCACATGTTGGAACGAATTTAAAATTTGTATTACAGTAGAACCCCCCTCCTTTGGGACAACAATATTTCAGGGGACACCCCTATTAAGGTGACAATTTTCCGTGAAACGAGGGAAATTATATATTTTTTTAACACTACAGCCAATCTCTATTAAGGGGGCACCAATATTAAGGGGACGGGGACATTTTCTGAGTGATTTTGACCATTAAACATGACATTTCTTGTTTTGTGTACAGTATTTTTATATAGGATTCTAATCTATACTGTACAGCCTGCTGCACACTGATTTCTAATTTAGTAACATCTATTAGGCTTAATAGTATTCTATCTTGTGAATCCAATAGAAAGCTCAATATTTAAAAAAAAGCATTGCAGGTTGAGATCCATGGCTAAATTGAAAAAAGGGATTAGCCTTTATCTTGTGATTAATCTCTTAGGTTATCACACCTACACATAAGCGATCCTTGACTGATGCACATTTATTTTATAATGTTATGCCCTAAATTATATAGTGGGCTACGAATAATGTTGTATTTCATGATTTTGAACATTTTCACGCTTTTCCCGTCAAAAATTGGATAAGTACTTACGAAGATATGATATTAATCACTGTTTTTGGTAAGGTTTTAGTCAGCTATTCAATATAATACCTTACACCCCTCTGCCGATAGCCATTCAAGCAAGGCATTACCTATCAGCCAGAGGTGAATAGAAACGCATTTGCCAAGAAGATGCAATTGTTTGTGGGCCTAGGCTATATTACTATAATTATAAGGAGGTGTTCTGATTTACATTTTTTAGGGACCTATGTATTATACACTTTACAATTATTATTATTATTATTATTATTATTATTATTATTATTATTATTATTATTATTATTATTATTATTATTATTATTGTTATTATTATTATTATTAGCATATATTATTATATATAGCAAGCAAGAGAACTATAGTACCTATGTTGACGGTTTTTTTTTTTTTTTTTTCTTTTTTTTGTGCATGTTAGGATTGTATATGTTATTGTCATTTTCTTTTTATGACCCTAATATGCTCATCTGTGTTTGGATTTTTTTTCTATTTGTAGCAAACTTTACATTGTTGTCACAGTAAATCATCGAATATAGCTTGCTATCAATTAATCATGTCCCAATGTCTAGTTGTGGGAATGGTCAACAAACAATTATTTAACATTAATTTGGTAGTTAATTCCAGTAAACAATGTATTCACAAATAACTTTAGAAGGCTTTTTAATTGCAATAATGTTTATCTACTTTCACTCAATAGACTTTTTGAAATGTAGCAAGATCTACACCATGGTTTTCTGCAGTTTCATTTCCGTGTTGATAGGCGGCCCAGTGTAAAACAGGGCACACATCTGGTTACCCTCCAAAAACAACAGTTATTAGTCAGGAAATAACAATCATTATTAGGAAAAGTTAACTGTAAAGTAGTAATTTTTTTCCTAGTAAAATTTTAATAACTTAATACATGAAAATATTGTAACAATTGTGATTTATTAGTCAGTCAATTATGGGTACTCAGTGCTACAATATTTTTTTCTAATTACATCATATGCTTTATAATTATTTGGGTGATTCCATGGTAACCGACGTTACAATTCATGTATATACACATCTATGGCAAGCCGTTTTATCATTTACCTCTGAATTGCAGTTAAGTCGAATGCATTACAGTTAACTGTAATTCAAGTTAACTGCAATACATTGGAATTGCAGTTAACTTGAAATGAATTAGAGTTAACTCTAATTCAATTGCAGTTAACTTGAATGCATTTCAAGTTAACTTTGCTGCTGCTTATTAAATTTGTACATCTACCGAGATATAGCCATAGCGGTTAAGGCAGGAGCGCGCAACCTACAGCCATAATAATATCGGCGCTCGCCTATGGTTCTGGTGGAAGAACAATTCTTCTCGGAATAAGGAAACGGTAGGTTTAGTGCAGGTAATTTAGCTCATATGCACTTTAAAGAACTCAGTACATCTTTCGAGACTAGTAGTGGGTTATCCCGGTGCACGGGTTCATACACAGTGGCGTATCTAGAAGTGTTGAAGTGGGGTGCTGATAGTGGAGGGGGTGCTCTAAATCACCAAACAAATGTGATTTTTGGTGATTTTTAATAAAAATACTCGCGCGAATAAACACTCGGGCGCTAAAAATGTTTTTTTGCAATTTTTGAGGGGCACTTATTCAAACGGTGCGCTTATGAAAACAATGGAAATTGAGGGGGCGCCTATAGAAATAAATGAAAATTGTGGAGTGCTTATGTAAATTCAAGAGGCACTTTTTAATGATATATATACTGTATATATATATATAAAAAAAAAAAATCAACCGACACTCGAGCCCGTGACCTTCCACAAACATGGCGAACGTCAGCACAACTTGACCACAATGGAATGGTCGTTTAAGCGTCCAGAAGAATCTGTGGTTCTTCAGCAATGACATGTGCCTTACTTACTATTACATATTTATTTTTATTTTAAATTCAATTCATATATTCCTTAAACCAGATTTACATTTTTTTTATTGCATGGTATATTATGACCCAGAAAATAAAAAATTTCCACTGCAAAGTAAGTGCCACTTGTTACTGAATAATAGCTATGCAAAATGTATGTCGGCCATCTTTGGACGCCATTGTGAAATTATTATAAAAATTTAAGATTTAATGAGCCATAAAACACTTTGTTTAGAGAAAAGAAGCAGGAACTTCAAAAGGAATGTACATAATCCATTGCTTTGTTAAGGGATGGGCCAATTTGTTGCAATGACCTTTGACCGTTTCTGACATCATTAATGATATGTTTGCATAACCCTTGATAAAAAAAATGTAGTGGTACTGAACAATGATATTTTATACTTAAAAATGCATGTATTACAGGTTTAGAATAAGATATGGCTACCGTATCTATTCTACCCCCACCACCTTGCTACTATATATAGAATTACCCTTTTTAGGTAAAAGGTCATAAAAAAATTTTCCCATGGCCGAAATCCATCCAACTTTTTTTTGGTGGTATTTCAGGTCGATATCAACAGTTTCCAACAAAAATCGCTTTGTAAGTAATTTTTTGCCACTTTGGTGCTCCGTCTGCCTAACTACTATAAAACTTTGATTAGAGCATTGCTTTGGCATTTTTTTTGACTTATGCGTAAAATATAAATGGTTCTGTTTTGAGTTTTCATTTTTCATATGCAGGTCTCTGTTTTCAAATATAAAGAACAGCACCACCACCACTATTCTTTCATATAAATTATCCTATCTAACAATCATTCATTTATTTTAAGATTAAAAAAAGGCAATAAAAAAATCAAGCAAGACTACAATAGCTAGGTGCCAGCAGCTTAAAAAGCAAAATAATATAAAAAGAAAATATAAAATAACTTCTAAAACTCCGGAGAGTAAGCTGCTGGCTTCTCTTCCTAGATTTTGCCTTTCAATACATTATAAACCCTGCAATGGAAGCATGTCATGTGCAGATAGCAAAATGTCCACGAAATTGTTCAAGCGGAACTTTCAGCAAAATTAGATATAAAGATGTGGGGTAGGCTGTCTCTTATACACATCTAGATGTGTATAAGAGACAGGTAGTAGGGCATAGGCCTAAGCCTAACTATGTCTACATACACTATCGGTCGTTTAGCCAGATATGTTTACCTACCTACCCTAGGCTACCCTATAGTTTCATTAGCATTAGTCCTACTACTCACCTAGCTACAACATGTTTTTTTTAACTTTTTATGTATAACCATGGCTGCTGAAATGACCGTGCATCAGCCGAATGTAGTACAATTGTTTATCAGTGTGATTAATCTGCTCAATAAACAATTTTAATTACTTTTGCAAATATAAAGATGTGGGTAACCCACATCTTTATATATAGCCTGGTTCACGTCGAACTTTATCTAGATATACCGGTCTTGAAACATGATACGATAATCCCCTAATTGCGTTCGATGCCAAGTTAGAGCCAGATAAACAGCCAGCCAGTTTCAGGCCGTCGACGTCACACGGTCGAAAGGCTTGTTTAATATAACATCTGCTGTATTTTACGAACCTCTAGTACCAAGTGGTATTCGTTCAAAAAAAATTTGTAAACTACTGTAGAGAAGGTGTGAGTTTCCACTACCTAACCTAGCCGACCAGTATGAACCAACGACCAGTGCAGCAGCGTGTTCTATCGCAATATAAGTGGTAGATTCTCTAGGCCCTGGCCCTAGTTACATTTACCTTCGATAAAAATCGAATTATTTTAATCGCTACCCAGCATTCTTACATTTATCAAAAATATTGTTTTAATTTTCATTAAAACGTATGTATACTTAATGGACCTTTCTGTCCTGTTTTGTAGTTTTTAGATCGCTCAATTGTGTTGTTTACATGCACTTCGCGAAAATCTGAGTTGTTGACTTACACTTTTTTATTTCGTCATCGTAAACATGTGCGCTCATTTTAACGACTGGCGTTGGTGGTAGTTCGTTGAAATTGAATTAATAGCGACTATTATAGCAGAAATAGAAAAGATTGAATTGTCAATAAATAAATACAACAAATCTGATTTTATTATTAAGAAAAATATACATCATTATCACTTTGAAAAACGTACGCAATCGGACTTTTTAACGTTATTACTTCGATGATGCAAAGGGCAAAGGTCATTGGTAATATCGACTATTCGTAAAAGGACGTTTGCTGGGTGTTTACCCAAAATATTACAAATAATTTCGTGAAAACCAGACTAATGAGACTACTTCGATGCTGTTGTTAGCATTGGTGAAGTACGTTGTTGCCAGCCAGAAGATGATAATGGTGGTACAATACAACAAAGCTGGATTAGATGCCTACGTTACGTAATCGTGTCCTTATAATCCGAGCCGACTTTACCGTTAAGCAAGTTAATTTACCGTTATTCTAGTAAAGTTAAGTCACTTAACTTAAGTGACTTAATTCCTTTAACTAGCTATAATTGAGTGGTTCACGTCGAACTTTTAACTAGTTAAGTGGATGTATATCTAGATAAAATTTCGACGTGAACCAAGCTTACGACTTTTCATGGATCTCGACCTGCTATGGAATATTTGGTCATAAACATTTCACTCGAATCAAGAAACAATATCAAGAACTTATACAACTTTTGTAGTTTTAATTATAGGCCTATATCTATTATTTTATATGTTAACATTAAATGAACTAGCATACCCGTGATCCGCACAGTGTTGAATGAGTGGGGAAAGGTGGCGATGATGTACATTGTTGAATGGGGACGTTGAGGAGGCAATCGTTGTGGACGTTATGGTTACCATGTCATTATTTTTCTGAAGGACGTCTTCTTTGTAGTTATGTCTTTGGTGAATACTGTAGTCCTTGTGAGGAATTATTGTGCAGTGTGATCAAGGGTGGATCCAGAATGTTTCAAACGTGGGGGGGGGGGGGGTTGGTGTGCACAACAGTTTCAGAATAATTTAATAAAGCAAATAGCACATAGTCCTATATTGCATTGAAATTTAAAAAATATTTGAAAAACAGGGAGGGGTGACGTCCCTCTCCCCTACTGGATCTTCCCCTGTTGTTTTGGGCTACCCTCTTGTAAGTGAAAGTACAGTACAGCAATATAGAGTAGGCCTAGCCTAGTTGGGCATGAGAGAAGTGTTTGTCTTAATCAAGGTGTGTGCATGTATAGGCTATGTATCTGTGCTTCTGATATTCAAAAGAACCCGTAGATAAACATTGTCCCGACGTGTTCACCAGAGGCGGATCCAGAGATGTCCAAATGGGGGGGGGGGGGGGCGCAAATGTTGTTCCAATTAAGACAACACTGTCCTAGGGGGTCGGCCTACAGGGGCATGCCCTCGCAAATTTTTTGTGTTTTAGACGCCCAAAAATAACATTTGAGGAGTTCTGGGCTATCCTTTTTTTTTTCTTCTTCTTTCTTTTTTTTCTTTTTTTTTTTCTTTATTTTACCTTCCAAAAAGGGGACACCTGGGCCGGGCCCCCCCCCCCACCACCGCCTTTGTTAAAGGCGGGGGTGGGGGGGCTAAACCTAATTTTAGGTTACTCACTCTTTATTGCACTTAGTGCGCGCCATACCTCATTTAATTGGCGTCCCATACTCGATTTCGTTCTCTAAATTAACTTTCTCGTTGGTGGCGCTGTCCAGAATGAGAAAAATAATAAAAAATAAGAGACTTGTGGCAAGTCTAACCCCAGTGTATAAGATACGAGCACATTCCTGCCAGCGGCTTCAGAGGAGATAGGTGAAGTTACGCGGTGGCGATTAGCAAAATTAATACTATAGATTATTGTTGCATCGCAAATTACTGTTATAAGTTAAGTTGAAATTCAACTGTATCTAATTCTTAGGTCAAAAATAAAATTATAAAGAATCTATCTATGACGTCATCATTATATTAAAACATGCCAAAAACCCCTTTTAAGGGAACGATTTCACGTTTTTGGTTAGTGTCCTATTCAGGGGACACCCTTATAAACGGGACACTTAAAGATACAAAGATATTATATCAAATTAACTAAAAATACATAAAAAGTACAATTAAAAGTTCTGAGGGTTTAAAATAATGTTATATAATAATATTATACAGATACTGTATGTTTGTCCTCCATGATCAAAAATATATCATTAGTCCTACCCTTCCAGGGTGAAAAGTGTGACACTTTCTTGCCTAATAACATAGTCCGGCCTCAACATAAATTTCGAAGCTAAGTCAAAAATATCGTATTACCGACTGCTTTACATGTTTCACGTGGTTTTAATTTTTCCTTGTTTTCCATGAGCTTCTAGAAACATCACCATGATTACTAGGACCTATATATTATGTATATTAATATTTATCTAGTGCAGTATTTATATTTACCTAATAGTTTCAAATAAACCATTAAACTTTGTAGTGGAATTTAGCATCTAGCAGACCGGGAAAATCTGTGGAAAATACTGACAGAGGGCGTTGGTGTAACGTCAACTAGCGACAGAAATGTGTGACAGAGGATAATGTATTGAGCTTAGGCCTATAATTATTTTTATCAAGTGTGTGCACAAATCGTCGTATGTATCATGTTTAAACAAAATATCACAGTGCTGATAAATTCTACATGACAATTTTTTTTTCATTAAGTGCACGGGAATTTTTAACCATCTTTTACAGTCCACATACTGTAACATACATGGGATAGGAACTTAGATTTTAAATTGTAAGCCTATAATCAATTTATTTACATTTACGTAATTTTTTATAATGATTTAGGCCAACTTATTTTCTTTACTTATAAAACAGATAAGGTGCTTTAAATAAAAATAAACACTGGGCCCATGAAAAAGATACTACAGTTTAAGTAAGCTTAACTGACAGTAGGCCTATTTTTCTATTCTTATTAGTACATGTAATTATCAGGTCCAATAAAGAACAAAATATTATTTTATCACCCTATCTAGGCTGGAAAAGTGATAATTGAGGGATGTTTTTTATTTATTTTTTTACTAAAGCCAAATAACACCTTTGGGTTGTTTGCTGGTGTATTGATATAAGTAAAATACATGATTGAGATCAAACAAACAATATCTACTGTTTACTAAAAAATAAGTTAATTTTTTTTTCTCAAAAACATGCGGGTGAGGATGAAAACTAATCATTTTTTACTGGGCTTTATATTATTTTAGGAAGTGGTTGAAGAGGTGATTTTACGTGTATAATGATCAAAAAAGGGTTTCTTTTCTAGCGAAGACTATTTTGGGACTCGACCAACAAATCTATGCATAGCATTGGAAAATTGAAATTTTCACGTCAAAAATCCTACTTGGAGGATGAGACCATAACCTTGTGCTAATTTTAACCACAAAGCCATATATCTTTAGTGTAACTATAATAATAAATTGAAATGCTCGAAACTTTAATAAGCTCTTTACTTTATATTTAGATTTTAGGACAGCTTCAGCAGAAAACAGAAAATTCACTATTGGTTTCATGGAGAATGCAGAAAAGAATCTTCCGCTGACTCTTACATTCGTTCTTATAGGAAATGCCGAGGAAAAACACGACTTACTACCTAATATTGTAAACATTACGTCATCATTATTTGAAATTTCTGTCATACAACATGAAGCAACAGAAACCGTCTATCTTCCTAGCAGTCTGGTGATATCCGGTAGTCGTTTGGGATTTATTGGCATTGAAATCAGTTCAAGTGCTGAGATCCGTGTGTTCGGCATAAACACTGCAAGTTCACGATATTTAGACGGGTTTCTTGCTTTACCAATTGAAAAATTAGGGTGTCAATATTACGTCGCTTCATACACTAGATCTCAGGTTTTAATAGTTGGTATCGAAAATAACACAAGCTTGAGCGTGCTTATTAAGGCTGAGGTTATGTTTGACAATAAGCAAATTCATGCCGGTCAGTTTGTGAACCTAACATTACGACGATTTCAAGCAGCGCAGCTTCAGAGTGAGTTGGATTTGTCGGGAAGTTTAATAACATCTTCAAAACCGATAACCGTAATGGCTGGAAGCATGTGTGCGACCTTATCAAGCAATGGACTGCATTGTAATCATCTCGTGGAGCAGTTGCCACCACTAGAAAGCTGGGGATCAACGTTTATACTCACGTCATCCCAAATATCTAGAAGTAGTGACTTGTTTCGTATATTCTCTAAAGAAAACAATACAGTTGTTACCATAATCACCATAACAACATCGCATCATACAACAAACCTTACGATCGATGAAGGCCAATTTCATGAGATTTTTCTTAGCGGCTCAGAACATGCATGGATAGAGACATTCGAGAGAATTATGGTGGTGCAATACAGAGGTTACTTTATGGAGGCCTCAGGATTGGGTGGACCGTCTATGTGTGTACAAGCAGCTCTTGAAACTTTCGACAGTAGCCCCGTAACACTCTCAATCTTTGACGTAACAACAGACGGCGTGAATCGCTTTCGGAACAGTATTGCAGTTTTCACGGTATGCAAGGACATGCATAATATTTTACTAAATGGCAACTCTATACTATATTATAAGAATATTTATATTCAATTATTTGAGAAATCTGATCGAAAAGACCATTACTGTAAATTAGTTGTTGAATCTACTTGGAAAACAGTTCAGGTTTCTTCTCGCGTTGATATGAATGTATATTTCAATGTGAATATCTACGGATTTAATGAGGGAATTTCATTTTCATATCTTGGTAAATATACTCTACTAAAATATGCTGGAGACTCATCGCACAGAATGTCATCATCAGCGTATTCAAATACACCAGGAATTCGATCCTTTCTGAACACTAAATTAATATCAAAAACGCCCTCTACGCTATCATCGTCATCATCATCACCATTATCATCATCATCAATATCCTCAACATCATCATTATCATCACCATCATCATTTTTGACAATGGTAGCGTCTTCTACATCACCATATTTCTCGATCTCAACACAAAATGCGTTACGCCATTTAGGCCTATCGTCAATCATATCGTCAAGCACGAAGCCGCAATCGTCAGTTTTATATTTCACATCAACTCCAGCTCCTCTTGCATCCGTTGTGTCACCAGTAACTGACTCAAATATAGAAAGGCAACCTAGTACTGCCAGGGCCTCATTGTCTGTACATAGTTTTGCAATGTATATAGCACATAATACAGTTATTGAAAATGTATCGAAGCCCCATCAAAAACTTAATAGGAAATATGAAAATGAAACTCTACCATATTCATACATATACTACCTAGCTGTGTTTCTGTTTATTCCTCTTATTTTTGCATGCGTATGCGCAATAGCATGTTATTATAAATTCCACATATTACTTAAATGGAATTGTAGTCGTGTCGCTCCAATGCACTTCGTTCGTATTACCCGTACCCAAAGAGCACACGATAGACTTAACCATGCTTGGATATAGTCTTAAAGACCAGGTTAATAGCCACGATATTACAGGCTATTTGACAATTTTGTTGCTTTATGGTATTATATTCATTTGACAAATAGGTCAACAAATTCTAATAGAAAAAAATATATATAGATGCTGTAACATTGTCTTGACTAACACACGGATATGACACAAAATTAAATTGCTAATATCAATTAAATTATTTGTTACTACAGCTATAGTATGGAGACAGAAAACAAAACTGCAAGTGGTATTCAGGGAGGTTTATATAATCTTAGTTTATTTGCATTGTTTTAACAGCATAAAATAGAAATGTGACATTACACACACGTACACAACATTATAGAACGCACACACACACACACACACACACACCCACACACACGCCCTCTCATCACACAACACACACATACATTGCATTGATATGGTTCATTAAATCCCCATCTAACGTAACCATCTACGGTCGTACATATAACATATGTTTAACATATTTTTTTAATGTAATATGTACTGTGAACAAGAATTAAAATACTGTAATTTATTTACATAACTACATAACATGTTTTCAAATATAATGACGTCATTCTTTTACTGCTTATACCCAATGGGCATGCGTTTATAATTTCATTGTGCAATAACGGAGGCTATTATTTTTAGCATAATGCTAATTTTATTTTTGTCGATTGATAGTTTTAACAAATATGGTAAGATAAAAAAAGATGTACAATTAATTATATCCCAGACCATAAGCCAATTTGCAAAAAAAAAGCAACCAAAAAAACAATCATATAGACTCTCTTTAATATTTCTCTGAAAATATATCAAAACCGCGTTACTTCTGTTGGTTTTCGATGGCGTTTGGATCCAGACACCGACAGTCGTCTTTGCAGCCTGCAGGAAAAGGAATAACTTCTCCGTCTTTCACGGTCGATGTACAACAATCTCCGCCGTCCCAGTTGCAGTAGGCACGATTATTAATTCCGTCACAATATCCATCCCTGATAAAGTCCTGAAAGAATAAAAAAAATTCAAATATGATTAAATATGTTTACTTTAAAAGCATGCAACGTGCTCGGAAAGTTATGTGTGAAGATGATATTCAACGTCACAGCGAAACATAATAAATTAATATGCGTAATGATGATAGAATACAAAAGATAAGATATAGACAAAATGTTTTCATCTTGAATTGCGGTTTAATAAAAAAAGAACACAAGTGCACTTATATTAGGAATACTGTACTCAAAATACGTAACTTTACAACATTAATGATGCTGGAACAGTGTAGGCCTATAGATTATCAAAACCAATAAGTCAAATCAATCGATTTGTTTTCGTTCATAAGCAATACTAATATAATAATACTATCATTGTAATTACAGTAATACTTGGCAATACACATATGAGACGTGTTGCCACAATAAGTAAAATACGCGTAATGCAGATCAGTTTATAAGCTGCATTCACATCTGATCCGAACAGAAACATAAACAACGTTTCCAATGCTCTGAACGTCAGCGTCCCTACTTTTAAGCCCAACACAGACACCGTCGTACGACGCAGCCCGACGCGATTCGTCTTCGGGGACAGCCTTATGTCGTCGTGAGGAATATTAAACATGTTTAACATTCTACGAGGTGACTTCCCCAACGCAAACTCACACAGACCCGACGCAACAACAAATCGTTGTCTGAGTTGGCCTTCTGATTTTCTGATCTGTTCGGTAGGATTTCCGATCCGAAAATTCGGATTTGGTGTGAATGCACCTTAAAGCATTGTTACAGTATGTTTCACTACCAATAGCAATAATTAGGCCTATCAGGACAAACTCGTTAAGAATAGCGAAACGCACAAAATGGATGGGGAAAACAATAGTAGTAGGCCTACACTCGTGATACATAAAACAATAGTTATTATATAGTAATAGTGCAAATAGAAATACTGTGCAGAGGCTTAAACACAAAACGAAAAATATTGAAGGGAAAATAGATTATGGATCTACACATACGTGTACCATCTGAGAGTTTATGCAAAGAGCTTAAGTAATAGGCGAGAGATGATGTGTGTAGATTGTTTCGTAAAAATATTAAAAGTTTCTCTACAATTGTTTTTTATACACAATGTTGCCTTTATCCTGGATCCACCCATGTTTTCCTGATTCTGTTATAGCTGCGTTTTATAATCAAGCAAAGTTTTCATTATAATTACAGTTTACTTTTTACACAGTATGATACATCGTTATCTCTATACCCTACGCAACACTAACGTTTTGTAAACTATTAGAAGTCGGTTCTATACAGTACTTGCAAACTTAAGTTGATGAGGTAAACGATAAAACGTTTAATTTTAGTTGCAATTAAAATGAACAATGTGCAAGATTAATTAGTTCCACGCAGTAACAATCTTAAATTTATATATGATTATTATGAAGTGCTCAGATCAAGAACATTTTGTAGTACTATTAATATATACATTACATAATTGTGCAACAGTGCGGAGGTGTTTAACAATAAAAAAAAAAAAACATCACACGAGAATACAAGTAAACAAAGTACATTGTGCAGTAAATGACAACATATGGAGATGAGTGACACAGCATGGACTATTTTCGAAAATTCCCGGTATAGTCTTTCCGAGTGGATCTCAAATATTGAAGTTGTTTCTTCTTTTCATCGAGAAGTTTCAATCGTTTTGTTCCATTTGGAAATTCATCTTCATTACATCCTACCTCTTGACATCCCTTGACACACGTGACTAACGACGGATCCGGATACCACTCACGACGAACTGTACAGATGATGTGTCTTCCATTCGTCTTCCATACATTATCAATCAGGCTTGTGTTTGTCAAAACTGCGTCATGACCGTACGCATTACACGCGGCTGTACAGTTGGTTCCTATTTTAAATTTTAAAAACAATATTAATTCCGACACTACTGTATAGTGGGAAGAGTTAACGACAATGGATCAAGCAAATAGTAAAACAAATAATTTGTTACATCATGTTACATTATCGGAGTAACACTGCTTCTTAGTATTTTGGAACACAATTTTAGGTATTGTCAACATGATGTCATGTAACTATTATGATTTTGATTTACTAACAATATTAACCAGTAGGAATAGCTATGAAACCGATATAAATATACTCAATAAAAGAAAAACATATGAAACTAAACATACCAACTCTGTTACCGTTGCACCTAAACTCCACCTCGTTACTACTTTCGGGTTCCGGACATAACAGTGAACCAGTGTGTTTCATGCAGGCAGAAAAGGCATCGTGCCAAGGTGTATCCCAACCTCTCTGACCACAAGTTACTATTGTCTACGAAAAAACAAACCCAAATAAAAGTTGAAAATTAATGAGATGATTTTGACATTGGTTGTGATGCTTTGTTTATGCTCATTTATGCGTACGTTAATTCTTAATGTGATATTTAATGTTTTTAATGTATTAATTGTGTCAATTCAGTGATACAGTATAAATAAATATATAGAGCCTATAGATAGTTAATGTATATAAACATATAAATATATGCAATAATATCTATTATGTAACATATGTATATTATATATTATATGTAACATTGCAGTGTCAGTGTCATTATATATACAGTATAGGTTATAGTAAACTCACCTTCTCAGGTCTGCCTGGACAATGAAGACTACACTGACTTTGGAAGTATTGGTCGTCACTGCAATTATATAATCCTTGATACATAGCTGGAGGGGGTGGACACTGCACTCGAACACACGACGGCCCAGACCATTCAAGATTTTCACCACATTGCAAACGAAACGTACGCCTGGATAATGATACAACGTTTGAAAAAAAATTGACAATAATAGTAATCTATGATTTTTGCTACAATATTATATCTCATTTATCAGTCAATAAGTAGGGTAGCATTTATAAAACTTCATGTTTAATCAATTAGAGTTGACATTTCATAGGTATTGAAAAATTCACATACAGCTATGACAAAATACTGAAGGTCATATCTATAAAAAAATATGTCTAAATAGATGACGTCATAAGTTTAAATCCAGTTAGTAGGGTATAAATTCATTTGAACTAAATAGTTTTTCCATAAACGTTTTTGAAAAAATTAAAAAAAACTAACCGATGCCTTTTATTTTGAACATGGTATCCAACTTTGCATCTATATCTGGCATGACTACCGACGTTATAAGTGAGGGGTTGCGATGTCGCTGGCAGTGAGTTGAGTGGTAACGGCGGTGGGTCGCAGTGTTGCTGACAGAATGAATTCGGCAAAGAATATTCACCATCTTCTAAACACGTCACAGACTTATCGGTTCCTACGATTTAGATAATCATTTTCATTATTGTTATTCAATTTACAATACAGAAATTAAGACTACACTTGACGTTAGCGTTTCATGTAATCCTTTAAATGGTTTGTAACGTACCTTGCATTTTGGCTGGTGGATTGCACTTAAAGTTACACGTTCGCCCAAAAAGAGTTCCTTCTGGACATAATGTCGTAGCATAAGTGATGTCTGGGTTCCCACAATCCACTGGCTTGCATGTCACATCTTTACCTTCCCACTGTCCGTTTACACACATAACCTGTGAAGAACACATAGATGTCATTGCGATTCACACTATTGAATCCTCTGTTTGCACATAATCTAATTTAGATAAACCAAAGCTAATCCACAACAGAATTAATCAAACATGGAAGATATCAACCAGTCGAAACGCTGACTTATAGACTGATGAGTATTTTATTATTGCTATCGTGAAATCTTCAATACGACTCTTACCTCATTTTTTCCTAATGGTCTGTACCCCTTGTCACATTCTATTGTGTAGGTTTCCCCTTCCTCAACAATATCACTAACATTTCGGCTTAACGTCGCATACCTTGCTTCGGGAACAGTGCAAGTTGGTATATCACATGAGTAACGGCTACACTGCCTCGTTGTTGGACTGTAGAGTTCGTCTTCTCCACATGATTGTAGAATAAGAGGGTCGAACGATTTTAGAGATCGTAGACGAACACCTGAGATGCCAATAAACTTATAATCTAATGAGATGACAACTTCTCGGGAGTAGTAGAACGGTTCGCTGAGGTCGTGCTTGACATTAAAAGCAGCTGGATTCGAGGTGCATTTTAGAGGTACATCATGGTCTAAGTAATGGTCAACTCCTGTGAAAGTACCAAACAACGAATACAGTAAACATGTCTGATATAATTATATATATATATATATATATATCTGTCTCTTATACACAATGCAAAATAAATTAGCAATTATTACTTACCATCTGTGTCGATTAACTTAACAGACGCATGTGTCGGTGTTGAAGCCTGGTTTGTTACGCCGTCAGCACCAATGTAGATCAGGACACTCGTTACCACAACTGCTTTGGGGAATCCAACCTGGAATTACGAAGACAACAATTATTAATTGGCTTCTGATCTGAAACCGGCATATTATGGCAAATTAACAAGCACATTCATTCAGTGATCTTACCTTCAACCATAGATTGTAGTCATTAAGACCAGCCCCGCATGGACTCCATAATGCATCAGTCAATCTGTAGCTGCAAACCTAAGTAAAAAACGAAAAACGTATGCCATCAATTTATTGATCATAAAGACCATCAGTTTTTTAGGTTATCCAGTGTTTCACGAATATCTGTTAAATAATTTCATATTAGAAAATTAGACATCAAAAACAGTCTAGGTAAGAATTCAGTTGTGACCTAAAACAAACCGTGACTTTGCTTTCATGATCTATATAGATAACATTTTGTGAATGCGCATAACCTACAATTGAAGTTCGTGTATGTTTACGATGATAATAGTTATTCTAAGCATTATAACTAATTAACCGGGATACATTTTGCACAGTGATCACAATCAAGCAATGAAAATCAATTCGTACCTGATCCCTGGGAGGTTCGCCAATGATGTTACTTTCCGGGCATTCTTCGCCTCGACTTTTAGGATTACCTCGTGCATAAGAAGCCCATTGGTCATAGAATCTTGGTGGAGTATAGAAACCACAATCTGCGACGTTCGTCTGTTTCTCAAACTCTTCACACTCACCGTCACCATTGTAACGATAACACAAACTAGGTGAGCCTGAAAAATGGTTCAATATTTAAAAACTCGAAAACTCTATTAAAAGATGTTTCCAAAACAAAAATACCTCAAAAAGAAAGGTAACTATTAAAGTTAGGCAATTGTTTGTAGCCGAAAAATTGCAGTAATAAATGAGAGTCAAATCAGAGATGTTTTTCAAACATACCTGCACATTTAAATCCTGTCTCTTCCTTGCAATTAACATTGCAGCCATCATTGCTCAGAACATTGCCATCGTCGCAAGTCTCGCCACTGTAAAGATTTAATTATTCATTGTTATTGCAACAAATTAAACCAACAGATGTAAATAAGAGGCGATTTTGGGCTGGTGGCCTTCAGAATTGAATAAAATCGGGTGCTGTTAACCCGAACGAAACAATTAAATGGTTAAGTTACTTAGTATAGTTTTCATTTTGTTTTCATCCTGCAAAAATTTACAACCGTTATATTAATGTAATTTGTATTTACTTTGATATTATAACGTTACACCTACCTCTCAATCTTACCATTTCCACAAAAGCGAAAACCAGTACCGATGACGAGGGGCGGTGATGGATCCCCAATGGCGTGCTTGGTGTTTGCTTGTACGCGGTATGTATATTCAGTGAACTCGTCGACGGTGCTGAAAAATGATTAAGTGTAAAAAAAAATACATAAATAAATAACAGAAAGCTACTATAGGCCTATGTTTTATCCTCACCTTGATAAGGTTTGCATTTTCATATAAAACACATTAATGTTTATCTTCATGTTGCTAAATTTACTCACACAATGGCGTGTATAAATATATGGACACATTTAATCCCAATGCAGTGGGTAGCAAAACATCATCTCATTTAACTGGATTGTTTGTGTGATTGTGAACAATTACCTTGATGTGTGAAGCAGGGGATTTAAGTTAAGTATTTAATTACTGCAAACTTACTAGTCTTCGAATACTGTTGAATTTACCAATTTGCCTCCGTTGGAATTGACAAAGGGTGGATCTCTTGTCAAGTAGTAGTTAATTGGTTTGCAAGTCTGACAGTTATTGTGACCTGGTCGTGAAATAAGCTGCACGGCGTCGATTGCGACAAATGGACCGTTCGTGTAGATAATTACGGACTTTACTTTTTCCACAATGTTGTCAAGTTTAGTGCTCAATGGAATGTCACAGTAAACGTCCATAGAACCAAGGCTGATCCGAGTTTTGTTGACTGTCACCAGCTCAATATTCTGGATCGCTTGCTCACGGTCAAGTTTTGTCACCCATACCACCACTCTAGCAGGAACCACGGGAAATTTAAAGTTCAGCTTCAGTTTACAGTTCTCGCATTTATTTTTCTCAATCCACCAGGTTCGATGATTAACAGAACACTTGGCTGCGTTTGGTGGACCTTCAAACAAACCAAAAAAAAAAAAATGGTATAGAGATATTAGTGTATATTCTCTCACAAACTTTGAATTCATTTTCAAGTGACGCAACGACAGTTACAGAGAAACCTCTGAGTAGAGGTAAAAACTAGTATTGAGCTTTCAACCACCAATCTGACATGATTAGTAAGCCACTGTGCATTCTAAGTAGGATCATTAATTATAGACCTAAATTATGTCAGCAACCAACCTGTCGCCTGTTGAGGAGAGTAATCCCCGTAAAGGTTTTCTGAATGTGGAGAAAAAGCAGAGTCGGCGTACTGTATCAGTACATCTCCCTCTACGCAGTCATGGCAGAGCTTAGAGTCTTCGGCGACGTTGTGTCCGGTGAGTGGTGGATGCCATGCTATCGTTACGGAATCCGCTGATTTTGAGATCACTTTCGGTGGCAAAGGGATCACTGATGGCTCTCTGTCTTTCTGCCATGATTGGTAGAACAGATCCAGGTAGCAATGCATCCGAGCCATTTGCTGGTGAGTAAATGACTGAGTACAGGAATCATCTGAGAATAAAAATAGTATAGTTACATAAAAACAGTGGCTGCGCCAGCATCTGAAACCTGGGAGAAAAGGTACGATTTTGGGGGTGGGGGAAGGTCCCCGATGAGAGCAAAGTGGGCGTGGTCGGGTGTCGATTAATATGCTTCAAAAGTGGTTAAGGGGGCGGAGCCTCCGAAAAATTTGACAATTTTATATACAGATTTTCTACTAATATGTAGAAAATACATATAATTTCTAACCCTTTTCTTCTTTTCTGGGGTGGGGGAAGGATACCCCATACCCCGTAGCACCGCCACTGCATAAAATTATCAGTATAATTCTATTGTTTCTGACATTTGATTAAAATTGTTTTAAGATTTACCAGCTGTAATTGATGTACTATAAGTATCTCTTTGCAACTTCTAATCGTTGCAGTAATTTGTAATGCTAAACAATGACCGTACGGTACTATTATAAATAGTGTTTTTTATCATACATAACAAATTGTGTTCATGTTTATTGAGGTTTGCAAATTTATTTGGACATTCAACACAATGGTGTAGTACATATGGTACATATTGACAATTCGTCATTGGTTAGTAGAATCAACTTACTTGCATAGCTCATGTAGTTCCTAAATGGCGTGTCACGAAAACCACTCAACCCACAATCACTGGTTTCATCGAGCCGCGGGTCTCTGCAATGTTCATTCATGGGCGTTGGATTTGTGTCTGCAATCAAATCGCCGAGCTCTAAACTAGGTTCGGTTTCGAAACATTCTTCGTTGCAACGCATCTCAGTCACGCCGTGGAAAACATGCCATAGTCCCAGGCTGTGGCCGATCTCGTGTATAACTGAATCCATTACGCCTGGTACACCATACGCATCAGCATGCATCACAACGCCACCTTCGGAGAAACATTAACATTTATTTAACTACTGTATTTATTTAATAGTTGATCCACATTCACTGGTATAACCGACATTACAAGCTTAATTTTTACATAGCAAACATTTCAATAATAGAAATTGTATAATCGCTTAAATAGTATAATACATACTCCAAGTATCGAAATGCACGCCATCGTGTCGGGATTCACTATTTCGACATTAGGCTAATTATGCCATATCGCTTAAATTATAAATGCTTATCAAAATCTTGCATATTTTATAACTTTTATAAAAAATGTTGATTTTGAAATGTTTTGCTGAACCTATTAATTCTTTGGATATAATTAGGCCTATTTGTTCAATTAATATATATTTTTTTCTTAATCTTATTTGAGATATCAAGTGATTGCGTTCTTTCATATCATGTGATTAATTGCGTATATTGTCATGACCATAGAGAGTTGACTTAATCACTAACTTGTAACTTAGATCTAATGACCACTTTATTCAATAATAATTTGGCTTACCATGAAGTCCATAAACACCGAAATCCCATGGCATCGTTGCAGTACCCAGCAATTCTTCGTCAGTATATTTCGCAATGTATATATTCAAATACTCCCTAGAATCCAGTCCGACTGTAGTCTTATACTCTCTCTCTCCCATGAACATACTGCACAGGTAAAATGAGTATATAGTATGTAAATTAGGGAATATATATATAATGATATTTAAATTATTAAACTACAGTGTACTATAGTGTGAAATCATTAATGCAAATTGAACAAAATAGATTGTAAACAATCGGTCATTCTAATAAATTTATTAACGTAACATAAAGCTGTTGGTTATAAAAACAATTTAGAATAAACTTATAGTATGCATTGGTTTACTTTAAATAGGCCCACAATTAATTGTTTAATTTCTGTAAAGTGTTATATCATAATTACCAATAGCGTGACGAGGGATCAAAGCACGTTTCGAAGGTATCTGTAAGCTGCGGATCACAGCAATCTCCACCGTCCCAGTCATGGTACGCCCTATTACAGTTATCTTCACACTTTCCATTACCAATAGAAGTCAACGAACAGTTCAAGTCTTCATCGTCACAGTCTCCACCATCATTTCCAGTAAACTGGGGACTACAGTGAATATCACATTTACTGTTGCCGATGTCATCAGCCTCACAACCAGGAACAATTTGCGTCTGCCGCAGTGAGGTATTGCTGATTAAATAATCCGTTCGTTTGAAAGTGATATTATACCTGCCGAACGCTTTGTTAAGTTCACTGTGCTGCCTCTCTATTTGAACTCGGGATACCATAGGAGACGTTCCATCGTCCATTGCTATGTTGATCACTCTGTAACGTACGATCTTTGGACGTCGCAGAGACGTCTGTTCTATGTATGAACCTACAACAACTGGGTTATCACAGACTGTTATACCACACTTAGGCGTTGTTAAACTAATGTCATGCTTTTTGCTAGAAATATCGGACGGAATCAACCTCGGTAACCGGTCGTTCTTTATGCTCCAACTGGTGAAATTGTCGAAAGGATCCCAGAAAACCAATCTGTCAACAATAGCGTCATCTTGATAGGAATTCGATTGGTTGTTATACAACATGGCAATTTGGCGATGTGACAAAGCCTTTGACCACAGATGCATTTCATCGACCGATCCTCTGAAGCCTACGTCAAATTCCAGTGATCCACCGAATTCAAGCTCTTTGCACTGACGCTTTACTTCGCTGAACAGCGGACCTCTTTGGCCTCCTTTAGCTCCAACTTTAGCTCCATTAATGTACAGTTTGATGGTCCATTCGTCGTAGGATGCGGCAATATGGTACCATCGATGAACCTCGTAGCGAAATGGCGCTGCTATTTCAGTGGGTGATTTAGATCGATCAGTCTTGAGCTGAAAAAACAAATGAGCATCTTGCCTTTGGGAACCTTTGGTGTTAATGCCGATTGCCCATCCATTCTCTCGACGAAGTTCACATGTATCGTGGAGTCCTAAAAAAAAAAAGAAAATACACAAACCAAATAATATGACATAAATACAATCAATCTCTTGGAAGAATATAATGTCATTTAGAATTTAACTAATTCTTTGATACATGAATCTTCATCGAACAATTTTTTTTGTATACGAAAATAAAACAGAGCACAATGCACATAGCTTTAGAAAAGATAATACTGTATTGCATATAATATTTGCAGAGAAGAAGTGACACAGGTAGAAAATGTCCTACATAATTATGGGTGTGGGACATGATGGATTAATCAGCCTCACATGCAAAAGAAAGGGGTATTGTGCTTTTTATACCCGTCAGAGTGCAGACAATAACAGCTGCTTTTTTAATAGTAGGGCGTGGTGTGTAAATGATGCACAATGTACCGTCTCGAAGTAATCTGACACGAATTTTGAATTTAAAAATAAATTTCGAAAAAAAAATTAACGGAAACAGCTGCCAGCAGATCATAAAATACTGTAATTATTACTAACAAAAATATTATAAAAAACTTTTTGATTTAGATTCAAAGTCACCTTCAGCGAAAGAGCAGTAATTACCAAATTTATGAATAACTTGTGCTAAAAATTGCCCCAGTGACGGTTTATAATGTTATCCAAATTATACACTTTAAATCATTCTTATGACACCGATGACTTATTTGAAACACACATTTCAAGTTTATAAGTTGAACAAGTTCTAGGCCAAGGTCAAGTGCAGAGAAGCCGAGTTTCGGGTCTCCGAGGCCCAAAAATACCGATAGCCTAACGGATAACGGACATGATCAAATGAAAGGCGGGAATCGTGTTAAAGGTTTATAATAAGTCACACCCACGGGGACTAAGCCATACAGGTGGGTTAATCACAAAAAAATTGCAAAACCTGGTCGTGTACACCTCGACTCAATTAACGGTCAGAATGACTTGACCCACGGGAAATTAATTATAATAATGAGAAAATAAGAGTCTTTAATTCCGATACTCTTTCATTCGTAATGCGATATAAATAATTAGCCTATGTACTGTATCATTATACAATGTATAGGCTATAATATAGTGGTGGATTTTTCTTCGAATAGGCAAAAAACAAAAATCGTATTATTAGGCAATTTAATTGGAAAGGACACGGAATAGCAATTAGCCGTATACCGTATTAACCCACATAAACATCCGGTTTATTGATGGCAATGTAAGAAGTCACTTGGGCAGATGACTGAAATAGTTAGCCTTTAGGAATAATCGCTGCTTTCGGTGGATTGAATAGGCTTACAAATAAACAAAAAATAAGGACGAAAATAATAAATAAGAAAAAAAAAATCCCACAAATATCGCTTCAATGCATTAAATCTTCAACACTGTACTATACTCTCACAAAATACCCCACAAGGCGCGTAAGACCGTGGTAGAATGTAGGTCTCACACGGGGTGAAATAGTCAAAGGCGACATCACTGATAATTGCTACCATAATTGCGATTATGGTCTCGATTAAGGAAATGGCAACATATGATTTGGTTAAAACTGGGATAGCCATATCCCCGAAGCAGTACACTGCCCATCGAGGAAGACGAACTCACACATTCGCTATTTAGTGTAGAGATTCTTTACGCCTGAACTCTTGATAAAAGTAACCTATTTTATACAATATTACTCAATCGTGCGAACGACTTTCTTTCCGCTGCAGTTCAAAAGCATACTCAATGGATGAATGCAGTGATTATATTTTAACTGGCTATTGAATTATTCAAAATAATCTGTTAAAAATTTGCTTCCGATACGTAAAAAAGGTGGAATAATTGGCCTATACAACCAGAAAGAATGACGTCATGTGAAGGTCTGTCGAAATGTCGAATGCTGTCGGAAAATAGGTAGAAAGTGTGGTAAACTTCCGTCAAAGTTAAATTATTTATTACAGTTGGGATTCATTCTAACGTTGGGTCTTACTCAAAATAGAACAAACACGACAATATTCCAATGTGTTTTATTGGCCTCCCAGCGCGGTGGTGCGAAAAGATGAAGACTACTACTCTTAATTCATAGGTCAACTACCGTTATGTGTTAAAAATGTCAATGTTCTTGTTAATGTTTATTGTAGATATTACTTCAATCTCCTATAAACGACTACTCTCACTTCATTATAAATTATAACACTATGGGCCGGTGGCCTAATCGAGCGAATAAAGTCGGGCATTGCCCGAATGAAATGAATAAACGACTACACAGACTGTGTTGATACCAATATACCATGGATAAATAAATCGTAGGCAGGGGCGGCGCCAGAAATTCCCCGACGAGAGGTTCAGCTCCCCGACAAGGGCTCCCCCTCCCCCATCGGGGGAGGGCAGCCTCCCCCGAATTGTGTTGATTATGATATTCTTTATTTAAAAACGATAATTTGATAGAAACCATGCAAGTTGAGAGGCCCCGTGAGGTGTACTTAACCACCTATCAGAGGTACCAGACCCCATGTAGGGGAAGATCTCACGCTACCACCACCGCAACCTATACGCTTGCAATAGTAGGCCTATACAACACCTCACACATACGGTAGCACTGCTCGCACTAAAAGTGTTTAATCCCTAAAATTTGACAGCTTAGTAAGGCATACCTAAATTGTACTTTCGGCGGTCGAGATTTCATTTTTCTTCGAAAACAGGGGGTCCAGAGGTCCACAATCCTTTTCCCCCTGGACCCCCGCTAGCGCCGCCCCTGTCGTAGGCTCCTACTTTTATGCTACTAAGAACGTCTTACTGTCCAGTTCCCAGGATCTGGACGTTATTATGGACCTACTAAATTGTAAAGACTTCAACCATGTTTGACCTACATTCCTGAAAACTTTGATCGTCTGGCACGTCACGTGACTGACATTTTATATCAAATTGACGAGACAATGACTCTTTATAAATGCACATAAGCACCGGAATGTATTATTTAATGACTTTTGCGCAAGAACGTAAGCACATATTATGTAGATGTCAGCATAGTAGGCATACAGGTGAAAAGTTAGAGTATTGTAACACTTGCCGTAGGGGGCAGTACGGAAAGAGAAACAGACGAAAATCTTTTCCGCAACCACTTTTGATATGAGTTGGAAACCATAAACGGGGTTATGCAAAAAGATACAGAAAAGGTATTATTAACCTGTCCTTTAAAAACTAAGATTTTTTTTTATCATACAAATTTGTAATCGTAAGTTCATAACTTATAGTGCTTAAATATAGAAAATAATCAATTCAAATAAGGAATAAGGTTTTTTAGCTCATGACCGAATGTATGGGCCCATCTTTGACAGATAAGTTAGATTACTCAAGGTCGTCAATAAGTCATTTATTTGTATTAAGAATAAAATATTAGAAAAACAGGTTTGATAGAGTACAAAGAAAACGTTGATTGTACAAGACACACGTGCGTTTTTAGACACACACTATTTTAATATCATTAATATTGGTATTGGAAAGTGTGTTTTACATAAGTGAACAATCCCAGTTCTATTTGAGTTGATCATATTGAAAACCCGTACCATGTGCAACAGACGATTTGTGGCAACCATACGGCATGAGGCTATCTGTTCATATGAATTGACAGTTCATGAATGACTATTAACTCTTCTGCGGCCTTGATACAGGATTGTGTTATACGTTAGCAATGCGGAAATCCCCAATTGAACAATTATGGATTTGATTTAGGCTTACAATCTTTAGTAAAATAATTAGCTAGGAAAGCGCGAAAAACAAATTCAATCATTAAGCACCCGGGATCATTCGTGTCGGTCCCTAAATGTACATACCCTGATCCAGGAAGCGTACTGTAGGCATACCTGGTAATCATAGAACAGGTGTGAAATAAAATCTAATTTTGTAAATGTATTTAACTTGTGTATGAAGTCTGGGTCTCGTAGCAGTCAGTGCTGTAAATCGTCAGCATAGTTTATCAGAGGTCTCTGGGTGAAACCGCAATTATCTGGGGACGTAGGAAGAATGATTTCATTGCAATTTATTTAGATCCATGATTAAAATAACGCATCCGGAAAGTTATATATTTTTGTTTAAAACACAAAGAAGCCTATATTATTATTGTTGTTATTATTACTAATGCAACTGTATTCTAATTTTGAAGTTTAAAGCAGACAAAAACGAACCATTTCATTCAAAATTAATAAAAATAATGATAAAAACAAATGTAATATTATAATTATCATCGCATAGGTATACCACAAAATTACTCCTTAAGACTTTATTGGTAATTGATAACATGAAGGAAGTTTTTTGGGATTTAAACGCTGTCCTAGTTTCTATGGAAATAAATAGACCTACTTTTGACATTAGGGTGTTTTCGCAAGCTTACGAAAACGATAACGAGTACGGATACGTCATCAAATTTGTAGGCTATACAACCCTTCCCCTACAGTAGCATATCTGTCACAACGTAGGCAAATGAATCAAGGATTATATTCAGCTCATACAGCATAATATTGTTAAGAATGTTTTAGGCACGAATGACGATAATGATAATGACGTATTTGTTTTCCTTATCGTGTTCGTAAGGTTGCGAAATCTCCCTATTCTATTGGGTTGGGTACTGTACAGTATTCGCATCACGTGGAACTAGACTATAATAGTAGTAGGCCTTATATATTATAAGGAACTATGGCAGCCGATGTATTGAAACATTCTGGAATTGAAAGGGTCATCCCTTACAATTTACACTCCCATAGATAATTATACCATAGATAACCTGTACAAGCGCCTTGAGACGGTTTCGATCGTGGAAGGCGCTATATAAATATAAAACCATAAACCATACATGTCCTCCATACAACTAATAAGCTTAATTAGATTTCACATAAGGCAGGGCCTAATAATAATTTACTGGAAGTTACAAGCAGCAGTTTTAATGTCTTTACAATAACGTTTGTTGAAATAAGGAGGATTAGACGTTCTTAAGATGCTACATAGGCCTAAATATACAATTATGATATTATGGATTTGAATTTTTTTTTTATCAATATCAAGTAAATGTGGATATAGAAAAAAAATCTGGCCAGTAAGCTGAACCCGAAAGGATCGGGGAAAAACAGCAAACGAGCGGTTATATGGGTATATGGGTCCGGGTATCAAAATTTGAGCATGAAGTAAAAACAATAATAAACAAAATAATTGTAACTTACGTAGTATATCCGTTTGGCTAAATTGTCCTCCTTCTGCTTTAACCCAAAATGCGACTGTAAAACTAGCTCGTGGAACACTTTCAGTATCTGTCAAGCGAATAATATCAGAAGCACCAGAGAAATACGAAGCAAAATCTAGCTCGTCGACGGGGTCAGAATGATGAAGGTGGCGAGGAAATTGGGCATGGTCCTCTCGCTTCGTACGATCGTGGGATGCAGAGCACCGTTTTCCCGATCGCCTGTACCGCTGGTCCGACTCCGTATAACCATGAGCATCAATCAGATGAAACCCTACAACCAGAATAAGCAAGGAGGAATAAATACTGAAAGTCATATTCGAAGTTTGTGAGTTTTATGGCCTAAGCAATTCCGGCCCAGTTTACTCCCGGCGTTGGATACGTCCAGTGCTTAAATGGACACAAAAGCTCTTCTAAGTGGACGATTGCGTGGTTGAATGGAGCGAGCACAGCGCGCGGAGCTGGGTTGCGAATAAAAGGCTTTATCTGAATTGGTGGAGGTTTATAATAATTGGCGAATGAAAGGAGGCTGGGCTATTGTTCAGCTGACACTCGTTAACAAAGCATTGGCAAATGGGAGTGTACAATCAGAACATACGCCTATCAATTTCTATTTACTACCGTACCTCCTGACAAATTAGTTCGAATTTTGTGGCATATTTCACACCGAGTCACTGATATGTTGGCAATTGATTGACGACATAATTCAATGTACTACTACTACGTATCATTTTTTATATATTATTAATAAACTCAATACAACAAGCATACATGTATACCTACACTACAC